GGAGTTTAATTGGGTGGGTGGAACCATCAAATACGCCTTAAATCGGTCAATTTACCCGTTCACAACTTGCACCGATTTCGTGAACTAGAGCCTACCACGGACAGTTATGACTTATGACAGCATATAATGGTCATATATGGTTCAAAACGACATTATATGACCTTGAGATGTATCTGCTAGGGTCTCAATACTTTTCGCCACCGGGTCCTGTAACCTCTAAAATTCCTCAAAAAGCGTGGATAATAGCCTTCAATTTTTGAATTTTTTGACCTTTTTTCGCTCGAAAATAAAAATTTCCTAGATGCTTACAATGGTTCTAACATCTTTCGGGAGTCCAATTGGGTGGGTGGAACCATGCAATTCACCTCAAAACGGTCAATTTTCCTATTCACAACTATCATCATTTTCGTGAACACGAGCCTACCACGTACTGTTATTGTAACACCCTAGAAATTCCTTTATTTTAAAATATCTGTTTTGCCTTGTATAAAACTTTAAATAGTAATATCTAAGACATTACCGCCACCGTGAAAACGGTTAAGGCAAATATCAAAGATACACAGCAGAAGACTAATTTTAAAAACCTTTCCAAAACAAACCAACTTGAAAAGCTAACCAAACAAAAGTAAAGTTAATAAACAAAAATGAGTGAACTAAACTGAAAATCAACCTACAACTTGGAACCATTAAAGGCCCTTATTAAAAACCAAACCAAATCCAAACTTGATATTAGTTCCACATATAATATTAGCATAAATAATTAAAGCAGAAACACATTGTAAGTAATATAAACTAGCATGATTCGCTCTTCACTCGTGCCCCATCATGAATATACCTCAATACCTGAAAAGCTTATCTCTACTTGTCTCCACTACTCTCCATTAAAAATGGGTCATCATAGGGCCAAGATAAAGACATGGCCAAAACACACAAACACACACAATCAGCAAAGCTGAGTACATAAGCGTAATTAAACACACTAACATGCATTCTCCTATCATCACACACACTTACCTCATTGCACCTGTTTACAAGCACACACAACAATCAACAAGACACAATGACTAGACACTAATTAATTCATTTTGCATTGATTACGCATCGAACGGGTTTCCACCTACTAACCTCCCCCAAATAAATTTGAGGTTAACTGGCACGGGAGCTAACCGTGCCAGCGACAAACCACACAAAGGTGGCGGAATTCCTGCGCATAATAAATAATAAAAAGGAATGTACAGCGTCCTGTACTCCATTGGAAGTTATGGTTAAATCTAAAACCCCATAACCCCCCCATTGTTCATACTAAAGGTATATACGTTCCAAGAGTTTTGGTGCGTAACACTACTAGAAAACAGGGAAATAACGACGGACTGCTTCCGACGGACCCACTATTCCGTCGGAAAAAACGAAATTTTCGACGGATTTTTTTTCCGTCAGATATTTCCGACAAATTCAATAATTCCGTCGGAAATCCGTCGGAATATATGGACTTTTGCGACGGAAATTCCGTCGGAAAGTACTATTTCCGACGGATTAAAAATCCGTCGGAACTTTCCGACGGAATTTTCCGTCGGAACTTTCCGACGGAATTTTCCGTCGGAATCTAATTAAAAAAAAAAGAAAAACTTTTTTAAAAACCCTAATGCCCTACACCTTTTTCCGCCTCCACATTTCTTTTTCCCCCTTCTCCTTCTCTTTCCACTTCTCCTTCTCTTTCCTCTTCTCTTTCCTCTATGTTTAGTTGTTCACTGCCTTCTCCTCTCACCTCTCCTCTTCGTTCTCCCCCTCTTCTCTCTCCTCTTCGTCTTCTCCTTCCCCCTTCTCTCTCCTCTTGTTTCCCCTCTTTACCTTTCACCACCACCGCCATCTTAACCTTCGCCGCTTTACATCCACGGACAACACCAACAACGACACCTAAAATCAACTACAATTTACTCTTTTTTCGCCTTTTATCTCTCCTAATGATGAAAACAAAGGTTTTTGGGTCAAATTCGACCATGAAAACTCTAGATCTAGAGTTTTCATGGTCGAATTTGGCCTTGTAAACCCAATTTCAAGGTTTTGTGTGGCCGAATTAAGGTATGTGTATTTTTTTTTGATTTTTTTTTTGTTGTTGGTGGTTGTTGGAGTTCGAATTTAAGGGTTTGGGTTGGGATTTTTTTCCTTTAATTTTTGGGTGGTAATGGTGGTTTTTTGGGTTTCGATGGCGGCAGTGGTGGATTTAGGTGGGTGGTAGGGTGGTTGGCTGTGGTTTTTGGGGTTTCGACGGCGGAAGCGGTGGGGGCTGGTGGTGATTTTAGGTGGTTGGTGGGGGTGTTTTGCTTAGGTTGGGGTGTTCGGGCGAATTAGGCTTGGGTTAGGGTTGTAGATCTAGGTTTGGTTCGGGTGGGTTTGGTTAAGGTGGTCTAGTGTTGTGCGATGGTGGTTAGTGGTGGGGGTAATGGGTGGTGGTGCTGTGCGGTGGTGGCTAGTGGTGGGGGTAGTGGGTGGTGATACGGGTTAGGTTGGCTTGTGCTGGGGTTGGTGATGTGCGGTGGTGGCTGGTGGTGGGGGTGGCTTTTTTTTTTGTTTTTTTTTAGCATTTTCGGACGGATTCTCCGTCGGAAGTTTCCGGCGGAATACAGTCCGTCGTAAATTTCCGACGGATTATCCCAGGCCCGAAAATCCCTTCAGACGGACTGATTTCCGTCGGAAAAGTGGTTCCGACGAAATTTTCGTCGGAAAAGTGCGTTTTTCCGACAAAGTGTATTTCGACAACCAGTTCCGACTGAATTCCGTCGGAAACGGGTTTTTCGACGGAAAACGGGGTGTTTCCGACGGAAAATTTCCGTCGTTATTTCACTATTTTCTAGTAGTGTAATCTCTTTTACTTTACGTTATTTACATATTATTAGACTTGGTGATGACTCTCAAAGCATAATAAGTCAATCAACAATAATTATACAATCAAACAAACATACCAATTTAATTCTTGAATAATTAATGACCACATATTATTTATTGTTGAACCCTTTTTAATTCTACCTTAGTGTCATAGACACCTTAAACGCATAATGCGCCAAAAATCCTATCCCTCGGTGTTAAAAACACCTTAAGTGCACAAAGACACCGACATAAAATTTATTCCTTGTGTACATAGACACTTATATAGCTCCTTCCTCATGCTTAAAGCATCAATAAAAATTATATGAACCATAATAAAATTTCTTTCAATATTCTAGACATAATTAAACAATTAGTTTAATTAAACATGCTCTCTATCATGCCATAAATAAATATGTAGTCCATATAATCATGCCAAAATATAATTGTCCAATCCGTAAACCATCACAACTAATTCATGCTTCACAATTCAATCACCAACACCAATAATTCACGATTCAATACATAAACCTTAGCATGATACTACTTGTAACTGATTGAAATTAAACCTAGCATGATTCTACATCATCAAAATATGCTAAGTACGCGAACGTACCTCAAATAAGCTCTTAAAATAATTGAGTACTCTACAACAATTCTCGAACCAAGTCTCCTACATAAAGGGACAATAATACTATATTAATTACCCTTGTATACACAATTTCCAGCAACTTAAACTCACTTTAAATAACTTATGATAATCTGAAAATTATTTAAAAACCCCTAATTAAACTCCTTTTTAATGGACAACCACACCCTTTTATTAAAAATCACAATTATACTACTTTAAATAAAATTCCAACATTTTAAACTAATCAAAAATCCTTTAAAACTTCATCAAAATACATCTTTATACTTAAATTATCCATAGAAACATTAAATTATCTCTTACCCCTTTTAAACTCAAAGATAAAATTTAAAGCATAAAAAAACTTCGTTAAAAATCAAAAACTGCTCGAAAATCGTATTTAGAGGCTGAATTTGGTCACGAGAGGGTAGTGCTCACTACCAAAGGTAGTGAATCTCTCTTAAAACATTGTTTCCACTCGAAAAACACTACTTTTTTTTTTATCAATATCGGAGGAGTTTAGAACCTGATCGGGATTAAAACGAGATTAATATTAACGAACGGAAATCTAATTATTAAAACATGAATTTGCGTGTTCAAAATAAATCTGGAATTAAGTTAAACTAATAAGTAGTTATAATCACCAAAATTTCAAAACATCATTACTATAAAAGCCCTAAATCAATTATTCATAAAAACCTAAAATCATGATTTTCAATAATTAAAAACCCTAGGTTATAAAATTTACAAAATCTGAAAATTATAAAGTTCAATCATCAAAATACAATTTGATACTAGTTAAATTAATTTCAAACAATAAAATCAAAACCCATAAATCAATAATTATAATTACACAAATTAATAAAACAAAAGAGTGAGAAAATAAGACTAATCTTTTTGTGTGGGAAATTTTTGGGAATTCATGGGGTATTTATAGAGTAAAAAGTGTAGGGTTAAGTTTGGGCTTATAAAAATGTGGGCTTGAGTTATGGGATAGGGCTTAAATTATGGGTTTTGGAATGGGTTATCCTAATAAGAGTATGTAGGAATAATTTACATTGCCCAATAATTTATAAACGTTTGGCCCAAAACTTATTTTACTTTTATAAAACTTTATATTTAAAATACTTTAACCCTTTAAAATATTTAATTAAGCCCTTGACAATACATTTTATTAATACTTAAATACTTCATAAAAATACATAAAAATACGGGGTATTACAGTTATGACAACATATAATGGTCATATATGATTTCAAACGGCATTATATAAACCTGAGAATACTTGGGCATCCAACTAGAAAAGCTTACACTTGACAGTTTTTGAATTGAAAGTAACACGAGTAATAATCTTCTTGTCATCAAATATCCATGTTTCTGAACTTACCTCAAATTTTTTTTTTTTTTTTTTTTTTGTTTTTCTTTTTTGAAATAAGATCAATTCATTGATAAAAGATTCATATGACATTTACAAAAGATATCAAAGCCAACAAATACAAAGCAGATCAAATCAAATAAAATTCTAATTTGACAAAACTACGATCGTGAATGAGATCCGACATTGATGAATTCTCTTGTCTTTTACATCGATGTCCTTTGCACTGTTCTACAAGGGGGTCTTGCAATCTATTGTAATTTTTGAATTTCAGAACACGGCGCACAATCATCCACATACCATAAGTACTCTAAATTCGGAACATCAAGTACAAGCTTGCTCCCTAAGATACTACTACAGAAAAACGTATTCAATTTCAATGTACGAAGAGAATGTGAAGAAATACTGATGGGAATCACAGGACTCAAGGAACCACATAGAGTCATGTACTCAAGAGACGGACAACTCGAAACGAGCCTTGTCAAAGAGTCATCAATCGGGAAGCAAACTACAGAGATATGCAACTCTTTCAAGTTAGGCAAACACAAAGTCGAGGGCACTTCAAGATCAAGATTCACGTCAAGCTTCAACACCTCTAGTGTTCGACAATTAAAGATAGCCGAGGGCAGCTTATCAGGCTCCCTTACACGAATATGAATATCGAGCTTCTTAACCCCTTCGGCTTAAGGGATATGTTAACCACTCATTAACATGTCGAGGTTACAATTCGGGGTAACAAGTATCATAACAATAGCCTACAGTCCCTACATTACAATCGAGATTAGTGTTCGCCAAGTGAAGCCTAAATGTGGTAGTAATTGTCGACTGACATGCTTGCAACATGTTATCAACAAACATCTTGAAAGTAGGGAAAAGCTCGGTCAAGTGTGGATGTTCCGCACAATGTGATATAGGGGAGTCGTCACAGTCGAGACGTGTTACTCCGGTGAAAAGCCGCCTCCATCGCCTCGACAAAAGACTAGTTGCAACGACATCCTTTGTTGGAAGGTATGAAAGTATGTTGTCTAATAAAACATGATCAGGTAAATTACTGATCCTATCTTTAACTGCATTATTTTCATCCCTTTTAGGCCGTTTTCGACACCTGAAGCAAGAAATCATGACACTTTGAATAAAAATTAAACTAAAATTATATCTATCTTGTTAAAGAACAAATTAAACAAAAGTCGAAGAATTACCTCAACATTGCTTTAAGATCAAACATAGGATTTGATTCAAAAGAAAATTTACAGCGATTATTGTGTATGATGAGAAAAATTATAGTTGAATTAATGTACGCTTTTTGGTTATAGAATATGGAAATTTGAAATTAATTAACAAAACACATATAAATAAACAAGAACTAATCCTTGTCTTAAACTTAAACATGGTGTCAGTGTCTCACACGCCTAATATTATTAGGAAACTCTTTAGATAGTAAACTTCTATCTTAACTTTGACTTCTAAACCAAGTTAATTTGCAACTAATAACATACGAAAAATATCTTACACAATCGTTGCAACCAACAACCCATTAACCAATAAAATAATTTCAATTTTTGTTTTTTGTTATTTAATTAAATTTCCAAATCCTCCATCTTTTTAAGTTTTTTTTTTTTTTAATTGGATTGCCAGAGAAATGCTTTACCATGTGGTGTAACCATTATATGAGTACTAGCATAGCGTTTTAACTCATGTTTTGTACTTTTTGATTAGTGGTTATATTCTTCTAATGCTAATGCTAATTACATTATTATCGTATGACATGATTCATGTTTATTAAAATCATCCAATGGAATTACTCTGTATTTCGGATGCAATAGCCACTAATTCCACATATTAAATTATTAACAAGGCAGCAAAGATCAACATCAGATCCCCATAGAAGGGCACAAAGCTCATATACCTCTAGAACGCCCTCACACTCATGTACCATAAGTATCGTACTATTGTGCACCTCGTGGTAGATTGATCATAAAGTACTTAAAGTTGTCCTAAAATAAGTAGTGTCCGTGTTTAAGAAATTAAGAGGCGAGGCGAGACTCGTAAGAGTACTAAACTGTTATGACAATTGACAAGTGAACTTAGAATTGGAACCAACGAGTCTTGAGTTGTAAATTGTAATGATTGTACTCGCTCAATAGCAGCAAGTATCAGAAAGTAAATCCGCAATAATCTTTTTGTTCAATCACACTTGTGTAGGAAATAATGCAAAAAAATTATGCTCTTTTTTTAAAAAATAAAAACATGATTAATATATAAAAATAACTAGCAAAGATTCAGGTATGTAAACATCCCCCTCCCCCAAAACAAAAGAGAAAAAAAAGTGTCGAAAATATGATAATACGGGGCCACATGCTTCAGCGTCCAATCACACTGCTCAACCTAATATAAATGACAGAAAACACAAGAAACGGGAGAAGAGGGGGAAATTAGGGCAGAGGGATCTCGACAAATAAAGAGGTGGGAAAAAATACCAAGAAAATGAAGATGGTAACATAACAGATGCATAAAAGACTAAGAGAATGAAGCAGCAAAAATAACCGCACTTGAACATGCTTCAGACAGGATTACCAATTGAAGCGAATTTCCATGAACCTTAACAAAGATCAAAAGGCAGGTTAGGGCGGCAATTTCCTACTAATTACCAGGAAATTTACAAGCTACTTGTGTTATAAGTTTATCAGATGTATCATCTTGCATACTCATATCTGCATACTTTAACACCTTTAACAAACCAGGAAATAATCACATCAGTTATAATTAATCCCTGTACACCATTTCATACAAGAGAGCGTTTGACACCCTAATTGTCAATTGACAAAAAGAGAAACTTGAATAAGCCGCACTAAAGTTCCAATGAAAACTTCCACAAACATAAACATATTGGACATAAGACTAGCCAATATGAACAAAAAGACCCGACTACACCTGCCAGATCAATTCAGAGGCTCGGCAGAAAATTACCTGAAGTTAACTAGTGTTAACAATGAAACATACAGTCTACCAGCCAGGCCAGTTTGCTTTGCTTGACAAATTCCTTTTTTCATGCTTTCACTCAGCACATCTACTTCTGCTTGAACTTAGTAGCTTAGCTAATGGAAGAAGTTTCTGGAAAATGGAGAGCAAGGGGGGAAAAAGAAAAGAAAGAAAGACCAAAGGGGAAATATTTTTTTTCATAGAAAAGAAAAATAGAAAAGAAAAAAAAAAAAGAAAAAGAAGTAAGGCAAAAGATATTGGCATAAGCCAAGCACTAGTGAACTCAAAAGCATAATTATACGGCTATAAACCTTCATATATAAAGCAAAAATCTATACATAAACAATCTTCGAAAACACCTGTCAACCCCTTAATACAAAAAAACTCTCCTTTGATGGCATACCTCAGTTAAAATTCACAGAACATGTCCTTCCAATTTCACTTGGAAAAGTTCTAACAAAAGCCTCCATTGTGAAGTCAGCACCTGTGCATCAAAAGTAACAGACCCAGCACCCGGGAGAAAAGGGAAAAGAAAAATAAAAAAAAATAAAAAACAGAGAGAAAAGGCCTAAGATCAGTGACAACTACAAGGAGAGGTTCAATGACCACCCATCATTGACACATAAGTTAAAATTAAAAAAAATAAAAAAAAACCGAAAAATAAAAACAAACTAAACAAAACCCAAAACAGACTATTTAACATTTTGACCAGAAAATGCACAATGGAAAGAATTCTAAAAGCTGCCATCCAGATAGCAGTCTATATCACACTTTCTCTCCCTCCCTTGACAGAATTAAATTGAAACATAATAGTCCACCAGAGAACCCCAGCATTTCTCTATCATGCAAAATCTTACCAAAGACATGAACAACAAAACATTTCAGATTATTTTAGGATAAACTCAGAAAAAAGGCATATTTGTCCTCAATTAATACTTCAAGAAATTCGTTTCTGCTTTAGCAAGAGAAAGTTAACATACATTTTATATCAAAGAACCTTGCTACTAACACTGGACGTTGACATTGCATAAAGGAAGATAAAAAGGCTTCACAAGTCACCAACAAAGAAACCATTGCCCTCTTTCACCTCCATCATACCTGCAAAAAAAGAGGCAGCAAGGCCAATTTGTGTAAAGAACAATATCATCAGAAACCTCTGAGCACTGAAACAAATTATAAGCAAGCCACTGCTCATCCGCAAGTTCAGAATTCAAACAAATTGATCCTTCACTAGCTTTTGCCTGAGGTCAAACTGTCACTGCCTTGTGAAGAACATTGAAGAAAGATGTGATCCTCAAGCTTCAGAACCATTTTCCTAATATAGATACAGCTTGTAGCTTGTTGAGCAATCCCACATGAATATCTCTCCAAGGCGGTAAATCTGAAATTGTACTGTCCGTAATGCTTATCATCAACATTAACCTCAACTCGGCTATGAGTTAAAGAATCTGAATGAGCTGATTATTGACTAGCATCTCAATTATCACCACCTGTGAATACATAAATTTTAATATTTTTAGCAAAAAGCGTGAATTTATTAGAACTTCAGACATAGAGCATAAAAACAGAGATGTAGACATGCAGAGGAATGAAAAAAGGAAAAATATACAAACTAAATTTCACCTTCTCGCTCAAAAGAGTAATCAGGATCAACGCCAATGTTGTTATTTTCAGCAAAGGTTTCTAGATCACAATTAGACCGACTCTTAGAGTTTTCCGCAACATCAGAGCGATCAGATTCGCTTTCATAAATTGTAGCTTTAATTGACTTGCTTTTATCACATTCAGATCTTTCACTCTCAATGATAGAGGGGTTCTTTCCAGAACAGTTGCTTAAGGAAGTTCCATCCCTGGGGTCAGTTGAATTCCTGGAACTCTTTTCGTCTTCGTATTTTACATACTTTTTGCTATTGCGGTCTAGTTTATCATTAATGCTTCCGCTATTTCTCCTTTTCTCTTTGCCTTCAGGAGACTTTGATCTTGACCGTCTTCTATGCTTATCCTTCAATTTGTCCTCTCTATGCCGAGAGGACTTGCTGCCTGTGTGGGATTCGTGTTCTGCAGATAATGATCTGGAACGCCTCCTATCACGATGCTTACGTTTTTCTTTCCTGCCTTCATCCTTTATTCCCTTATGCTCAACATCATCTCTAATAGATTTGGATGTTGAGTGCCTGGAAATCTTAGATTTATCCTCATCCACTAATTGAGAGGATGTCTTCTTGTAAACTTCTTTGACATTTGAAGTGGATCTAATTCCTTCCCCACATTTTGATTCTTCTTTTTCATCAACAGGCTCACCTTCTTTCACCTTCGAATGATCCTTAGTGTCCATTGATCTTGATCTTGATCTTGATCTCGATCTTGATCTTGACTTTGAGCGCTTTCTTTGAGTTGTTAAGTTCTCATCTGAACTTTGGGGGGACAACTTGCCACTCTTATCATGCTTATTTTCAGATGATGCAGACCTAGAACGCCTCCTACCACGATACTTTGCCTTCTCCTTGCCTTCATCAATTCTCTTACTCGATTTGTGTCTATCCTCTACAGATTTAGACCTAGATCGCCGACGATGTTTCAACTTCTTGTCTGCATCATTCACAGGGGAAGATCTACCTCCTTGGTGAAGTCCAGGTGATTTGGAGCGGTGACCAGAATTCCTACGATGTCGAGGTTTTGGTGAATCTGAACGGTCTCGATACGATCTCCTCCCACGAGGACTAGGACTCCTACTCTTATTCCTTTTGAAATCAGACACATGATAATCACGTGATCCTTTCGAATCTCTCCTTCCAGATCTATCACTAACATCTCTATATGACCGCCTATCATATTCATAGCCTGTATAGTGGCGATACCTTACTGGAGACCTGGATCTATGATTTCGAGAATGTCTTTTCTGAGGAGAAAAAGAACGAGATCTATGACGAGACCTTCGAGGAGACTTTGATCTCCGACTACGAAAATGGCGTGCAGGTGAGAAAGATCGAGATCTACGTCTTTTACCATAACTTATAGGTGATCGCGACCTTGACTTGGACTTAGACCTTGCAATAGAAGGTGATGGAGATCTGCAATAGAAAAAATCATAATAAGCAACAAAAGAAAAAACTGTAGTATCAAACAGGCCAATGTTAACTTCTGTCATGTTCACTAAGTATATGGCAAGAGAAATATCCTTTCATTTATCAATTAACTTTAAGACAGCCCAAAATATAGATGTTACATGACGCACAGCTAGAGCAAGAACAATCCCAACAGTATACAGATATGAGCACAAGATTCACGACAATAATAACACATGCAAACAATCAACCAAATCACAACCATTCCCACAAATTTCGGCACAAGTCAAAAAAGAAATATCCCTAAGAAACTGCACCGTCAACAATCCCCCAGGTTGTCAAATTCTACAGTTTTTTAGATGAAATCTAATCATATCAGATAAGACAACAAGCAGCAGGAAAAATAAACAAAACCGCACGACTAACTCCCAAGTCATACCTAGATTTTTTCGCTGGCTCTTTTTCATCAATTACAAAACCATCAGCCCTCAGTTTCTTTGATATTTCTGCAGCTCTAGCTGATGCTAAATCTGTAGCAGACTTCACTGTAGCAGCACGGTTGGCTGCTTGCTGTGCAGTCATTGTCTGCTGCATCAGCAATGCTTGCTGAAACTGCATCTGCTGCATGGCTACTGCTTGCTGCATCATAATTGGCAAGGATGAAGCTGAAGAACCAGCAGGTTTCTGAGGAAGTGATTTTGCCATCTCAACATTCAAGGGGCGGCCACAAACATCCATGTTATTGAGAGCAAGCGCAGCCGTTGCCTCTTCAGGTTTTGCATACTCTATGTAAGCAAAGTGCTTTGAGTCAGTGATCGTGCAATCCACCACAGTACCACAAAAGGCAAAAAGTTGTTTCAGGTGTTCTGCTGTGAGAAGAGGATTGAGGTTGCTAATTTGGACGGTTTTCTTCAACACGTCAGCTTTATTATCTGCCTCAGATGCACCTGCACATAGTTGCTAGTAACATCAGAAGGATCCCCATAGAAATATCTGATTGTATGTAAATTTTTACTTTTGGGGGGTGTGGATGGACTGAAGGAGAGGAGAAAAGATATTAAATGTGAAAATAGATGATAATATACTCATTAAGTATTAGCATTGACAGTTCATTTCTGACGTTGAAAATATAAACTACTTTATGTTGGCAAAAAATATTACTATTTAGCACACTTATTTTGAGCAAATCGCCAAGTTCTATTCACTAGCTTCTGAATGTTGTTTCAAAATAAATTCTTGGGATTAATATACTGTTAGTATACACTCAAGCCTAAAGAATATCATGAGATAGAAATATAAAGGTTTTCTGACCTACTAGGGCACAAAAGTAACATCTATATTTCTCAGATATTCGCTCTAAACCATCATCCCTTTAAAAAGGAAACTTCTTTAAAAGAGGTTTTTTTTTTTTTTTTTTTTGGGTGGGTGGGTGGGGGGGGGGGGGGGAGATGTTAGTAGCAATGATAGAAACACATAGTGAATATATTAACAGTCATGACAATGATGATAGCAACATTCAAAGAAACACAATAGGGAGGGGGGTTAGGGGAAAAGGGGTAGAGTGCAGTACTGGAAGAATCTTTAGACAGCTTAGATTGAGCCTGTAGCTGAGCAGTATGGGCTTGAAGAGCCTGAGCAGCCATGATTGCTTGTGCCGCAGCCATTGCAGCAGCAGAAGGTGCCATTGGCACTTGGCTCATGGTTCCCATGGTAGAGGTTGCAGCTATTGCACTCATGAGCAAGTTGTGTGTGGGGTGGGTAAACTTGCAATCTGTTTTGAAGCACCGACCATTAAGAAATTCCCTACATACTTCCCCCAAGGAAGCTCCAATACCAGGCAAAATCACCCCACCAGAAGGGCCAGGAACAAGTCCAGGAATCATCCCAACCAGACCAGGAAATGCCCCTGAAACAGAACCAGCATAGTTTGGCATGTTTGGCATATTAGCATTAACAAGGTTTGGATATGACACTGTTGGAGCCACACCAAGCAGTCCTCCATTCGAACTTCCTGTAAAATGTATGACACACAGCATTCAGCAAAGACATATATGGAGTACAGCAAACAGCAAATAGCTCATATCCAGTCCAAAAAAAGGAGTAAATATAGACGCCCAAGTGACCTAACCAGTGCGTTTAAAAAAATCAGCTTGTAACACAATAACATTAATATCATAATAACACGAGCCCAATTATGAATAAAACAAAATAATATGCACATGCAACAGTTGACAAGCAACAAGTAATTCTACACAATTGGCAGATCAATTTCAGCTGTCCCCTAAGAGAAAGCTCACATTTAGCCAACAAAAAATCAGCAAAGTCAATGGCAAGAAAACAGTCATGCTAATGGGCTGTAATCAGACACCTCCCTTTGTCCCTCTTTGATCTTCCCACCCAACCGAAATTATAGATCTTCAGATATGCGCAATGATATCAACAAAGATTTTAGTTAATTAAGTATTTGATACAATGCACTAAGTTCATTAAATTTCAGTAAGACATCCCCCCCCCTCCCCCAACTCGAAATTAAAGTTTTCCAAGTGTACACAATTACAAGTCAATCAATCAATCAAAGCCTTAATCTCATAAGTGGAGTCAGCTAACAAAGAGTAAAGATCAACAAAGAGCGTAGTTGATTACTAAGCATACACATTTCAATGCACTATATTTATTACTTAAATTTCAGAGGGACATTGTTCCAGTTTCCTATTCTTCAAGTGAAGAGATTGCACTCCATTTTGATCGCTGAATCTCACATTATCATCAATTAGAATCTCCGAGTTCAATAGAATAAAAGCAGAAAGGTGAAAAAGAAACTACCTGCACTGAAAAATACAGGAAACGGGCTGCCCATGATAGGCCTCCCATTGCATTCTACATGGACCATATAATTTCCTCTCTTAGGGACAGCATAGGTAACCGTATACGTCCCATCACCCAGATCCTTCACAATCCCATCAATGTCTGAACCTCCGACCCCTACTCCCGGGGTAACCTTAACCTTCACCTGAGCATCCCCTTTAGGAATCTTTCTCCCATCTGAATCCTTGGTAATCAAATTAAACGTACACGGTGAGCCTGCCGATCCACCAGAAACTCCAGCCCCAGCTGCAGTACACTTGGAAGGATCAACTGGCCCAATTGGCTTGTTTACGAGATCTTCTGCCTCGTCTTCACTGTCCGAAGATAAATCAAGAGCCTTAGGTTTGCTCTTGTCCACATCCTTGAAAGTAGCCTCAAAAGCCGCCTTGGCAGCCGCAGTTTTCTCGGCTTCGCTCTTCAGCTTTGCTTCCTCAGCTTGTCTCGCCCAAATTGGCCGAATAGCCACCGCATTCCGGTCAGCCATCAAACCCTAATTACCTACAATTCCCAGAAAATTAAAAAAAAAAAATTCAATAGCCCCAATTATAGAATCAAAACCCTAGTTACCAAGAATTCCAAAAATTACATAAATTGAAATTGCAAGCAAGTAACTCAAATTGCCGAATACCAATTATAAAGAAAAAAAATCAACAAGTCAAATTAGCCTCAACTGAAGATAAAATGCAGAAAATCAAGCATAAAAAGGTATTCAATTAGCCCGATTTTTAGCTTAATGTGTAAATAAAAACAAAATTGGGAAATTGGTAAAGTTGAAAGATGAACAATTGAAAGATTGAGAGGAGAGAAAAAATTAAAAAGAAAAATACCAGAAATACAGTCGATTGGGAGAGATGATAGAGATCTGCGAGAGCCAAGAGGCTTTTGATATTTTGGGAGGGGTGTTCAATTCTTTATGCAATTTACCACAAATTATGATTAAAGGTTTTTTTTTTTTTTTTTTTTTTTTTTTTTTTTTTTTTTTTTTTTTTTTTTTTTTTTATCTAAGCTAATGTGCGATACTGCGATGCGCCTATGCTTCTTGAAGTGGTTGAATTTTTAAGGTATGACCTTTTTCAAGATAACAAGTTGTGACTTTAATTTAAAGTATTAGACATTAGTATTTGTTAAAGGAAAAATTACAAAAGATAATACTCCTTCCGTCCTTTTATTACATCAACAATTTATCGCCGCACCTTAGCATCAATTTACAGCAGCAATTGCGCAACCAGGCCACCATTCATCTCCATTGGATCATCACGTGGGGGGTTTCGGCTCGTTGGCAGGGTTTGTGGGAGTTTTTGGTGGTGGGTGTTGGTTGCGGTGGTCGGGAAGGGATGGAATCAGGGCTGCAGAAGGGTGGGATGGAATAGGGACTGGTTGGTACCTTGGTGGGGTTGTGGGGTGTGGGGTAGGGAGTGGTTCTGATAGTGTGGATGGAATCGGAGTGGTGCAGTGGTGGCAGGGATTGGTGGAGCACCGTTGGTGTTTGGGGGAAGGAGAGAGAAAAGGGAAAAAAAATTAAGTCAATCATATAGCAACACATGGCATAGTTAACTTGTTAAACATGTTGCATCCGAATTTTGCATGTTTAAAATTGATACCCTAAAAGGTCGTAACATTCATGTATAATCCACAAGTTATGTTATTTAAAAAGAACAGGTCAAATGTTGTATTATTTTTTTGCAATTTTCCCTTTGTAAAAAGATGGGAAGTAATTTAATTTATAATTTAAAAATTAAAACAAAAACCACCACCCCACCACCATCTAGCAACTAACCCCTCCTTTTTCCTCTCCACTAGCAACAACCCCCCTCACCCATGTGAGTCGCCACCTAGGTTCCCCCATCCCCAGCGACCCACCTTCCTTTTCCTTTTTTCCTCGTCCATCAGTTTTTCTCTCCTCCCTTCCCCTTCCACGGTTCCACCTCCACCAAACTCCTCAAACTCAACTTCCGCCATTATGATATGAACTCAATCGAAACTCAAGCATCTAATCAGGTTTTTCTTTAAGGGCAAAAAATTAATTTAACTGTTTCTTCGAATAACCCTTTAGGGATTGTACATTCAAAGGTTTTTATTAACAGAAATTTTATGTCTTCTGACTGATTTGGGATGGTACAAGAATCATTTTTTTTTTCAATAACACTTAAGCTTAATTTTAGTTCAGTTCAGTTCAGCTCAATTCAGTTCAGCTCCAATCAGTTCAGTTCACTTTAGCTCAGCTCCTAACTTCCTTCTCTCATAAAATATTCATTTCAGCACTATTCAGTTCAACTCCAAATCTCATTTTCTCATAAAAAATAATTTCAGCTCTATTTAGTTTAGTTCAGTTCAGCTCCGATCAGTTCAGTTCAATTCAACTGCAATCAGTTCAATTCAGCTTCAATTGGTTCAGTTCAATTCAGCTCGGTTCATTAAATATAAACAAACCCTAAAACCCCATTCATACTCCCTTTTGGGATTATCTTTTGCCAAACCCCAACTAAATATATACATGTGTTAAAATTGGCCCAAATTCTTACAAGCCCATTAAAGAGTAATATTCAGAATTTGCTATGGCCATCATTTACATGATCAACACAAGAAAAAGTCATATTTAAAAAAAGTCTTCTACTACAAAGTCTTTCCACCTTATTAGTTTCTTTATACTTAAACTTCCTCCTTGTAATATAATCCACTATTCTTTAAATACTCTCTAGTGAGCACTTATTTTTGAGATTAACCTTGTAACCATACACTCCTTCAATTAGTTTTATTTTGTACTCTCAATTTTAATATAGTGGAATTATTTTCATTGCTCCCGTGTCTCTTCGATATTGCTTATCTTGCATTCATCTTTAAAATTTCTCGATTTATTTTACGCTTTTGTTACGTGCTCATAGCCTAACAACATATCTATTCTTGGTGCTGTGGAGTGTCAATTTCCCTCGGTCGACTTTTTCTTTCCATGTTTTGTAAATCCTCCTTTACACATCTTCACGATGAAATTGTATTCTGAACCTTTTGCATCAAATGCTTTGAACGAGGCTTTTTCGTTGGTAATTAGTATATCCTCATTGTCCAGATTATGGTAAATTTCCATTGCCTTCTGATGCGGCAGATTAAAGCGACAATGGTTCTTGTCCAAATCATTGTCAGAATTTTCTGAATTTCCCGCCATTTTTGAACAACAAATTGCTTGTTATGATCAAAAGCAGATAAAAGATTCTGGAAAATTAAAGAGACTTGTTACAATTTGTAACAGATTGAAGCTAATAAGAGAGAAGAAGCGATTGACTTACCAATCAATTCGATTGAAAAACAAGATTTAAATAAAAAATTCAACCAAGAATTTGCGCGGGAATATTGCAAGTAAACCTGGCTCTAAAACCATAATAAAGATTCTGAATCAGAAACTCAAAACAGGAGAATTAGGTAGTGTTTGACCAAGCTCTTGAAGCTGAAATATGGCCAAACAATGGGTTTTGCAGAAAGAGAAACAATATAGCTTCATGAAACTTTGACCATTATACCCTTCAATTAAAAAAAAATACCCATATGTCCCATCTAAAAAATATTCTCTCTCCTCCTCTACTCTGTCAATAGCCATTACTACTATATATTTACAATATGAGTATCCCTCCTCTCTCAATTTTAAAAATTTGAAAATTGTGGTTCTAATTTTATTTATGAATTTTTCTAAGCTCACCATATTTTATTAACAATACCCTTTGACAACCATATCCGTTAACGAAAGTTAAGTTATTTTATCAACAATGATGTTGCGGCGTTATTAATTTGACATGTGTCCTGTTCTAATTGTTTTAACACTTTAAAAAATTTTAAAAAATCAGAAAATAAAATAATCAAAAAAGTTTATTGTTAACATCAAAGGTTATTGTTAATAGGATGCAAAAAACCACCTTTTAAATCTTGTTTTTTTGCAAATAACCACCTTTTAAAAAAAAATGTTGCACAAGACCACCAATTTTAAAAATTTTGTTGCAAATTACTACTTTTTTAGCCAAATTTATCAATTGTTTTACATTGAATTGGTGGTAAGTTGCAACAAAATTTTTAAAATTGGTGGTTTTTTGCAACAAATTTTTTTTTAAAAGGTAGTTAAATTTAAAAAACAAGATTTTAAATGTGGTTTTTTGCAAAATTTCCTAAATAAAAATTAGTGAAGTTGAGGGAAGTATGTAGTTTCAAGATGTTTGTTGGTAACATACTGCAAGCGTGTTAGTCTGAACAGATAACCACCTATAGAATTCACTTTGCCAATGGTAATCCTAACTGTTGGCAGTGCTGTTGCTCCAAAGATGGTTGTTGCCCTGAAATGAAACCTATGGATGGATATCTTTTCCCTTAACCCAAGCAGCTTGATATTCACATTCATGTCAAGGAACCTGATAAGTTGCCCTCGACCATCTTTGGTTGTCAATCTTGATCTTCAAGTTCCCTCATCTGTGTGTTTGCCAAACTTGAAACACGGCTGATGACTCTCTGTATAGGTTGGTTTCGAGCTGCCCGTCCCTTGAACACTTGACTCTAGTTGGTTCCTTGAAATCTCCCATTCCCATTATTATTTCCATTCCTTCCCTTCGTACATTGGCAATAAATATTTATTATGATAATGATCATTGGTTAAGGAGCAAGCTTGTACTTGATGTTCCTAATTTGGAGTATTTAGATTATATAGACTATTTTGCGTCGTTCTATTCCATTGGAGGTCTTAATTCTCTTGTTGATGCACGAATTCACATTTACTTTGAGTATATGGATGTCGAACTTGAGAATATATGGAGTCTTGTCAGCCCATTGTCCAATGTTCGGTTTTTGTGTTTGGAGTACGGGTTTGTAAAGGTTTGTGTCCTTAATCAATCCTTCTATATGTGCTTCAAATATATATCTTTTGTCAATGGATAATGTTGATGCTTTGCTCTTTGTTCTAGGCTTTGGATACTTATAATTTAGAGTATAAGCTGCCCATCTTCCGTAATTTGAATCATCTGCAGCTTGGTTGTCAGGGCGTTTATTCATGGAATAAAGTATTGTAGTTTTTTCGAGGTTGTATGATTTTTTTTTTTTTCTCTATTACGAATGCCAAAATACTATTTTATTAGTTGTTGTTAATGTTGAATCTTAACAATCTCATATTCTCAGGGGATCATGGCAGAAATCGACGAACAACATGAACGTTATTTGATGCTGACTAGGGAAGAAATCGAATCATGGAGTAAAACTCAAGTAATCCCTTCTTGTTTGAGGTTTCATCTTAAAAGAATCATAATAGAGGAATACTTGCAAACAGAATGGGAACTGGAAATGGTTAAATATTTTCTGAGAAACGCTTCAGTTTTGGAGGAATTGTTGGTAGTTTGTAAAACTACCGAGCCATTGGCAGATAAGATTCAGCTTGGCCGCGCATTGCAAGAGCTACCAAGAGGATCAATGACCTGTTCAATAAATGTAGAGTGATTCTGGGACTAGTATTACAGTATCTCTGTAATGGTTAGAAAATTAAGCATACAAAGTTATTCAATTAAGCATAAAATTTCCTCCTCATGTGAAGATATCTCTTGTAAATAGAAAACGTTGGAACTTGCAAAATTGTATTTCTTATATTTTATTTCCTTCCTATGTATAATAACCATAGCAAGATTACAGAAACACTACTATAGTATAAAGATAATCTCCGATTTGTTTAGATGTTATTGCTGTGCAGAAACTAGTAATTAATGAAAAATCAAGAACAAGAGGCTCGTGCATTGAGAATACTAGAAAGAAGTTCATAGGTTCTTCAAAGCAGATAAATGCAAAAGAGCTTTATCAATTGAGTAATTCAAAATTTTTATCTCATAATTTCTAACAAAATTTGCCTTGAGACGGGACATTGCATCGCCATGATTCAAGGCATCAGAATCTATATATACAAGCAGTTACAATTCCTATCACGAAGTCCTTCAGTCTACCTAGTATATAACAGACCACAAAAGCTAGTTGAGAAATTTCAGAAGACTAGGTCAGGACTCTTTGTCCATTTGAGTAATTTCCCGACTTACCAAGAGTGAACTGTCAAATTTGGGCATTTATCGTAAGAGATATGTACAATAAAAATTGATACCCAAACCAAGAAAATTTGCACCTAGCGCATCCATCTACCCATCTTGGTAACCATCATTTTTCTCTTCTTGTGGGCTTGATGTTTGGCAGAAACCCCCATTTTCCTCTTGGCATTTCTGACAGGATTAATGACAGCCAAGAGCTTCTCCTCTTGCTTCCTCTTGAACCTTTTTTCTCCAAGATCATGCCTCATCTGGTTGTAAGCTTGTACAAAGTTCTGAGTACCAAGTTTTTCCTGTATCTTTTGACGAACTTTTTCTGCACGTTGCTTTACATCATCTACATACAGATGAAAAAGACATTATAAGTTTTCAACTAAAAAACGCAAAAGCATAGAGAATATAAACCTACCCTGGTTGCGCTTCACATAATTAAAAAATCAAAGCTAATGATTTCCCCAGAAAGGGAAAGTGGCTCTATTATAAAACTCTCCTTCCCTAATCTCCCCCCCCCCCCTCCCTTCCCCCCACTCTCTCTCAAAGTTTGTTTTCACTCCACTTTGCTGAAAGCTACTCATAGGTAACTGGCAAGCTAAGCCACCTGCTTATTAGCCAAAGCTGTTTTTAATTCATTTTATTTTTTTCCTTCATACTGTCATAGTTACAAACTTAAAACCAAACAAGCCACCAGCTCAAATCACCAAAATGCACTTCAATGTCTTCAAAGCCAGCCTTATAGTTCAGTGCAACAATGTGACAGACATTAGGTACAATACGAAATACTTGGGAGGTTGAGGAAATTATAAACCTTACCTGAAACTACTTTTCCAGAAAACCCCTCGCAAAGTTTGTAAATTGGGAACAACAACAAATAGGCATACTGCAGGCAATCTTCTTGAGTGGTCTGCTCAGCCACCAGTCTAAGACTACCAAGAATCATCTTCGTCTGAAATTTATAAAATTAAAAAGTCTTTAGCAACAAAGGAAGCAACAAAAACAACAACAAAGCCTTAGTCCTAAAATGATCTGGGGTCGGCTAACATGATCATCATAGGTAACCATAATATGTAGGGAAAGAGACATAAGAAAATAATCCATTGAAAGAGCATGAAAAAGGCGAGTAAAGTGAGAAAAATGAGCATTCAAGTAAAATTAAAGAAGTTTTAAAGAAAATTAAGAATAGACTTCAAGAAAGTATTATAAGAGTGCTTAAAACGTGTTGATAAACATAAAGGTTTGAGAACAAAAAAGCCATAATTACACAATGTGAACAAGCAAAGAACAAATGGTTCAGTATATGTGCTTTACAACCTAAGAGCTCACTGACCTGAGTATCCTCAGTTTGAAGGGCAGTTTTCCCCATTGTGTTAAGTAAACCAGACACGAGCAAATAACTAAGATTATGGTTTTTCTGATCAAAATTATCATCATCAAATCCACAAGTGAGCACTTCGGTGATACTCCTTCCACTTTTCGTATCAAGCAACTGACAAGCTTTAAGAAAACATCCTTGATCGCGTGAACCGAGGGAGGACCAAAATATACAGGGATCCTGAAATTCTGTTTGACGCAACAGAGACTGTATACCACAGATTGCAAATGCAAGATTGCATTTAACAATTCTTCTTACACCTTTATCAGGGAGTTGAACCTTTAATCGACTGCATAGAGACGAAGCAATCAGGAACATCCTACTCGTGCTTGTAAGGCAAGTTGTTCCGATTTTTTCCCCTTTCTTTCCCATTTGTTCAAAGTACAAAGCAACAAGACGGCTGGATATGTTACAAATCCATGGGTGTGGATGTACAAGAAGCTCAGAGACTGCCTGCCATATATCCTGGAAAAAAGAAAGTATTACCAACAAACACTTGAGAATATTCAGATTAATTGCTGCAAATTATTACCCTTGTGGAAGCAAGTAGCTTCATCTTTTGAAATGTAAAAATATATATATATATATATATATATTGCTCATAAACTCAATTCTGTTATGAAATTTTTAGGAAAGCAATGGACCGTATAGAAGCTTCTCTGCAGGAATATCAAGGAAAAATAAAACAAAAGTGACAATCTTTTGATGATATCACATTCTATAGTTTTGACAGAAATGCTAAAGCTTCTATGAAGTAAGAAACCAGTGCTTCCAGTTCATTACTCTTCACAAATCTTATACATTTGTTCGAAAAGAATATCAAAATCAATTCATTCAGCAAGAAAAGAGACTTTCAAAGATGCTTTATGCTCCCCCCCCCCCAACCTCACACCCCCCCCCCCAAAAAAAAAAAAAAAAAAAAAAAAAACATAATTGAGATATGTATCCACGTTATGAATTCTCTTTAAATAGCAACCTAGTTTAAACATTTCAGGTCAAAACTATATACCAGCAGCATCCAACTCTGATAAATTTAAGCACTAAGCAAGATCAATACTATATATATAAAAAAAAAAAAAAAAAAAACTTACCCAGGAGACCTTGTCATAAACTCATAATATCATATGTTAAGTTATACGTCTCATTTATAAACATCTACATACATGTTTTCAAGTCTAAATTGGATTTCGAAAAGATAAAGGGACTATGAGCTGACAACAAGAAACTTACATCAATATCCCCAACAAAGAATAATTCTGGAAGCTGTGTAAGAATTTTCTCCAGCAAAATGAAAGAATAATATGCATCCTTCCAAAAGGGAATTGTTTCCGGATCTGACAGATTTAGCTGCCCACCATTCAACACATCAATAGCAGACTGCACGGTCATTTTCATAACAGGCAGTACATCATTTATGTGCTTCCGAAATCCTCTTTTCATCACTTCAACAACAAATCCAAGGGCCTGGACAAAATAAACACTGACAGTAAGAACATTTTGCGTATCAACTCTAAAACCTTAAGCATAATATATTCCCCAAAAAAAAAGAAATTGCAGCCTAGTAGAATCAGCATAATAACATCACCAGAATCAAGTAAGAGAAAACCAATAGACAAAAAGAGGCACATATAAGCACAGGTAACTTAGCCTTGAAAAGCATGCCTTTAAAAGGCACAGAATTTATCACCTGCTTGACTACCAAGAACCGCTATAGCTAGCCTGATTAAAACCATTTTCTATAATATCTGGGAACAAATAGCCTGCAAAGGATATTATTCAACAGGCTCTGATCACAAACACCCACCCACCCAGTCACCCACCAACCATTTTAAATAAGTACGCAACTACTAATAAAGTCTCTTGAGAACAATCATGAAGTTTTAATTAAGAACAAAATCATCCAATTTTAAGTGCCGAAAAACCCATTCTTTCTCCAACTGATCTTACCCACCACTACAGAAAGCTTAGGAGGAAAAGAGTTGAATAAGGAACGAAATGTGTTTCGAAAATGTCAGACACATTACATTAACTATATTACCATCATATAAATCATTACCTGTGCTGATAGGCTCCGTAGCTGTTGTTGCTCCCCCAAATACCAAGTAAGACACATATTTAAAATGGTCTTAAGTGATTCTGAGTTTATGCGCCCGAGAAGATGCTTTATAACAATGCCAATTGAGGAGCGAACTTGATTATCATGATCATTGGCCAAAGCACGAACCAAAGTGAGAAAAAAGATCGTTGACTGCTCACAAATTACGCTCTCCGGAAATCTCTTAATAAATGTCTTAAGCATATCCAACACAGCTGATCTCCCAGTGGCATGTTCATACCTTTAAACAAAATTTACATAAAACAATGTGCCTAAGAGAACACAATAATAATTTTACATTTTACATCTTAAGTAAGGATGATATGGTATCTTACCCTAGTTGAATCACAAGGAAATCAAGATGCTGCTGCCTTCGTTTCTGAGAAAGTTGATAGTTAAGCAAGAATTGTAACAATATCTGACTGCATTTTCTGCGGACAGCTTCCTCTTGACTGGTTACCATTAGTTTTGCAACTTGATTTATCAGATCATATATTTCAAGGACAACAAGTTTGCGCCGCACAATTGCCTTTAAAAGTGTCAAGGCAACAAAAGAGGGGTTATTTTCAAGGTCAACAAAAAGGGGAAACTTGATCAATAAATGCAATTGATCAGCTGAAAGGGTAATTTTGGTGCCCTGTAGCAGGGCAATCAATAATTTTAAACAGGACTGCATTACAGGACTATTTACATTAGAAGTACTTTGCGCAATGCCCAATAATGTCACTTTTATTATGTCCGCTTGAGATTCCAAGGAGGGAAGAGGCAGCCTTGTCAAAGGGAATATACACTTGAGGGCAACATCTACTATCTCTTCATACTTAGAACTCAGGCAAGATGTCAGAAGCTTAATAAAGGGATCCAACAGTGAGATCAGATGATCATTGCCCTTGTGAAGTTTAATATTTCTCAAACGATTGTGGAGAAGTCGAAGAGCAAAGACTGCAATAAGATATGAGCACTGTGGTTCGGTCCCAACATAACATTTCATAACAATTTTACTACTTGCCTCAACATGATTTTCTATTTTTAATTCTTCCACTAACTTAGTTTCTCTTCTACGTTTATCCTCAGAAAGCCAATCATCAATTAGGCCATATATGAAGATAAAGAGATCAATCTGCTCAACAGAGGAGTTTCTTTCAAATCCTTCAGCAATGTGAGTCAACATATTCTCCAATTTTAATTTTACTTTTGGTGTCAAATGCTTCTGCATATGCGCAGTTACTGGAGAGAGCAGCTTCAAACCATGGGATTTAAAAGTCACATTTTGGGCCATCAACCTAAGTGTATCAAAAGACATTTGTTTTCTAGTCTCTTTCATTTTAAAAGCAACCTTTTCCACCTCTTTTTGCTCAGCTACCTCACTAAAAATGTCATTATCTACTGCACGAAGCAGCTCATCCAAACAAAAGTCTAACATACCACCTACAGTATCTGGAAGGCCTTTTGACAAGATGAAGTTAATAGTATATCCCAAAACATGAAGCTCAAATCCTCGTTTCAAAGTCGCACTCAAAGCCTTGACTACTAGTTTAAGATACTCAAATCCGAGTTCCTTCAAACATGCAACCAAAGCACATCTGGCTTCATCACGAATGCTTTGGAGACGATTTTTAAGGAAGTTCGATATTCGATGAATAATACTGGAAAGATGAGTGTCCAAGGTGTCACCAGGAAGTTTCTTTAAAACTTTTAAGATGGCAACACTAATATTAACATTCACTTTCTGTGGATCAGAAACAAGCAGTTTTTGCAACTTTGGAAGCACAGTACCAGTAAGACAGGCCTGTGTCGCAGAAAACATATAACTGGCACCTTTGGGTATAGTAGCTGAATTAGTTTTGTCTTCAGGATCATTCTCTGTTAAATCATTTCTTGGAAGGTCAGGTGAGGAATAGGTCTCGGAAAAATGAAATTGGTCAAGGATAGAGCAAACAAGTCGTAACAGGACCTTTTCCCTATCGGGCTTTTTTTCCATATCCCTGAAACATCTCATTAGTAAAGCATAGTATGATTTCCATCCCAATTGGCCAGAAATAGAAGCGATGGCATCAAGACAAGCACTTCTAATATGCTCCCCCTTTCCTGCTTGCAAGTCATACAACATACTGAAAAAGAGGGGTATGAACACTTTCTTCAACATGAACTGGAGAACAGGAAAAATGCAAATGAATCAACAACTCAAAAGGGCCAAAACTGTATAAAAGAAAAGGCAAACTGCAACATGTAGCTAACCTCGGAAAGCTGCCCAGTGGCAACAATATTTTTAAAGCGTGACAATGCTCTGGCTTTCCTATGTTTCTGCAAGAGGAAAAATAAGTCAGCACTGCAGCAGTACACACAAGCAATTTTCATACTTTTAATAAACATAATTTAGATATGGAACATATAATCTAGAATGAATTGCGTCACTGCACCCTTCTTTTATCCAATTGAAGAGAAATTGATTACTGAGGAAATCACAAAACAACAGGACCAGGAATCTCAAATAACTAATGTACAAAAAAGTACTGAGCCAATCCAGCTGAAACATCAGACAAAGATCAATAAGGGAGAGTTAAGGCAGCATACTACTAAGGTGAAGCTACATAGACAAATGAGTCGCACAAATCCAGAGACTAAAGAAATGACAGAAAAAAAAACTGTCAGTATTATCTGATCATGAACTTCATTGATGATGAATCATTCAGATACAAACACAGATATCCTTGTTTCTCCAAAAACTACCGTCATCACTTGCATACAAATCAAAAAACTACTGGCAGTCCCAGTACAGCACCAAGCTACCGAACACAACCTCTCAACTCACTCCCTTCCCCACCCTACTTGAGCGGAATAACAATCAAGTCCAAACAGTCACTTCAAATCACCAATGAAAAGGATACTCTTGACCCTGTCTCAACAAACCTACGTCTTTATATCCTGGGGCAACCAAAATCTTTTGCAGATAGCCCAAATTAGTACCAAAGGAATGCCCAAACTAAAACACTTTACACTACGCAATTTCTAAGGGAAAATAAGTCTCCAACATGGGTAACATCCTTCAAAAGTTGCTATCTCATTACAAATCCTGTTGACTAATTCTAAAGAGACATTTTTTAAGAAAAAGAAATTTATGAAACAGATCTACAAAGCACACATAAATAATATAAACTGGGGCACTTGAAAAAAAAAAATTCAAGGACTGTATTTTAATTCTTTCCATTCCCATCTTCAAGACTTCAACAATGAAACTAAAAGATGGAATTTGGAGAAAAAAAAAAAAAATAGGATTGGAGATTTCATGCGCGAATGGACCTCCCAGCAATTTGACTAGAGAATATAACTATTATTCACTCTTGCCAAAAAAAACTTTGTTACAAGAGAGCATCGCCAGAATGGAACAGGCCAAACAGAACTTAGAACCTATATACTAGTCCTAGCCTTCCGCCTCTCTAAGTACACACTCTAATTAGTAATTAACATGTTAGACATGCATGACTAGGAGTTCAACATATGTTTCCTGACCCGGTCATCATTTGATCCAAAGCTGGCTGGAAAATAACTTGTCACCATACACAGCAAGTGAGCTGTAACCTCAACCTATGTTACATGGACTCGGGTACGTGTGTTGGACTCGGACATGTGTCAAACTGTCCGATTCGTCAATTTCAAAAAAATTTGGACAAGGGGACTCTATCCTATATTTGGACACGGGTGCAGGGACACGACACTTTCATTTTTTGCAAAAAAAAAAAAATACATTACAAAATATTTAAATATTTCATTTTCTTTGTCTAATACCTGGGAAATTAGAATATAATATTATTTTAAAATAATTTAAAATGGAGTAATGGAAACTGAAAACTAAAAATAAGTTTTACAAATAGTTAAAGTGTAAAAAAGAATGACCTCAGCTAGGATTAACAAAAAAGAGTCACGTGATTCCAGTTATTTGTACAAGTGTCTTATCAAAGAAAAATATAGAAAATGATGGGGTCAACACTTCAATTTAAAAAAAAAAAAAAATTGATGAACAACATTTATTTATCAAGAACCACAGATTGTTGCCGGCTATCCCACTATATCCGCCCATGACCCATCTTCACTTACTCCCGCCTTTCACCTTCCCCTCTTTCACTCTATCAAGCAGGCGGCAAGTCGGCAACAATGGAGTTTCAGTCTCTCTCTGAAATGCCCGAGTGCACACTGCCGAATCTGACGAGAATTTCATGTCTGTGTCATGTCGACACAGACACTCTGGGATTTCAGCCGAGTACGGTGAACATAGACCTCAACTAAGTGATGATGGTTCTGATTTTCACTAACTCCAGTTTATAATAACCCCTTCTAATAAATTAATTCAGAATATAAAAATTCCGCCACTCTTTCCTAATCGCAATGTTGGTGATTTCATGTTTTTCAATGCACATTTAATACCATTAATATCTTTAAAAAAAATAGTAAACCTATGATAATAAGATATTTTGAAAGCATATATCAAAACAAATCTAAGAAGATCCCATACAAATTGGATAGTGGGAGTTAAGAATAGACCACCTTTTATACTTTATAAGTTGGATATGGGAAAGCACGGAATAGATGTTATAGATCCACTTTCCATTAAGTAAAATGCTGAGAAAGGCCAAAGATGACTTGGATAGAAAAAACCAATCAGAGTTGGCTCAAGTGATAAACAACTTGATGTCGCTTAAGGGAGGTCTCAGGTTCGAGCCTCACCGTATGCAAAAACTCTTATTGAGAGACTCACCCACTATAAACTAGGTGACCCGGGTCAAATCCGGATGTAGTCGGAGCTAAGCTCCAGTGAACCGGGTGAGCATCCTAAAAAAAGACTTAGATGGAAGGAGTTAAGAAGAATCCTGAGTAACCTGACACTAAAGGTTCAATTCCAGACCTGATTTTAACCCAATTATATTCAGAAATTTAATCATTACCCGAAATTACCTAAAGATAGACTCAGATCAAAAGAGGTCCAACACATGGGCCGACTCGAAATGACCTAACTCATAAATGATATGAATATAGATGGCTACAAACTAATATGAATACACATCCCCAATTAACCAAAATATATATTAGTCCAGCCATCCCACATTAATTTGAACAATTATCACTTTACAAATTTTAAGGTGATAAGTACTGAATGGGTTTTATACTGTTATATAATAAAGAAGTAGATGTGATTGGAGTTTGTCAAGTATTTACATGTATTTTAACAAAAACATAGGTGTGAACAGAAGTTAAGTCCAAAAGAATGGTAATAAATAGATAACTGATAAGTCCATACCTAAAAGGAAATCATTCGGTCTCATGGTTCATTTATTCCGTCAAAGTAGAACACGGCATGTTCAAATTAATTTGATACTTGTTTAATTAATGCTTTAACGTATAAATCTTACCATATGAAAGCGCAATTCTTACTAATTTATCTTATCTGAAATAAATCAAAATAATAAGCTAGCTATAACTTAGTTTTAAAAATACTCAAAAGTTAAACCACTTTTGTTGATTTAGATGTTGGGCAAAATAGAGTCATGTGGGATTTAGTTAGATTTGTCTCGTGTTATACCTTCACATTATCAAATCTTGAGATTATTTAGTTTCATAATTATATATTTAAAGTTTGAAATCATGCATTGGCAATCGTGAAAGTCAAAACGTTGCGAGTAAAAGAGAATGGAGGAAGCATAAATTTATGGTTCAAAAGTTATGTACTCCAAAATAAAAGTTCACATAATAAAAACTAAACAAAAGAGAATTTGAACTTAATATTGAAGCCATAACTTAACTTTGTTGCATCATAATCTAAGTTGTCAACCTATGTCTAAGCAATGAAAGGAGCTTATGGTTTATTGAAAGGAAAAGGGAGCTTCTTAATTGGATAAGAAACAAATCGATTGATTACAAATTATAATTATTTTCCAAGTCATCTTAAGAAAAATGGCATTCTTCACAGATAGTCATCTGCTGTAACCTAATCTTGAAAACAAAAAACTAAACTTAGAGCAGACCACAATAGACTTGATCCAAACGCAAAAGACCCACGTCAAGTCATCAACTGGATCGCAGCCATCTAAATGATATGTTCCCAGCTAGAAATGTAATGATGAAAGTGGGTTTTCAAGAGCATGGCAAAAGATAGAAGAAAATGAAGGAAAAAGTATATGTGTATGAGCACGGAAAATTGATTCTTGATTCATGCAGCCTACCTCAACTTTTAGGGAATAAAAGAATAAGACTTAGGTTTTGTTGTCGAAATTATAATAAAATGTATTTAAATTCGGGTGTACCCTCATTGTGCAGAAATTTAACCAAAAAAAAACCCTGGTGAACAAAAAAAGAACCCTTGAGACTCGATAGTAATCGATACCTGTAAATGAATGATGTTGTTAAAGAAGTCTACTTCAGCATCTTCACTGCAAAGGAGCTTTAAACTTCCAAGATTTGGAATTCCTGAAAGCTTCAGGACCATCTCATGTAACAAATCAATCCATTCCTAGAATCATACCCAACAATCAATGTGACCTTGAGAATCCAGTATATGAATAAATCACTATAATACCAGTAATGAATAGAGTTTCAAAAGATGCCTACCTTTTGCATAGTTGTTATTTTAGTCATTGCATCTCCCATGTGCTTCAAAAGGAATTTATTTACAATATGCTGAATGTGATTATCAGTCCAATAAGGGTCATCAATTGCCATTGTTCGTGCAGGAACATCCTGGTTCTTTACTTCTTCCCCAGTTATTAGAGCAGAGAATTCAACAAATGAGAGGAGTGACTTATACGCACATTGTCTTAAAATTAACTCATCAGATTTGATGTCATAAATACAGTGGGATAATATCACTATAGCTTGATCCTCACTAACACCGAAGAAGTAATCTGCTGTAATTCTGTCATAAGCGTTGATGATAATATCAAAGTCAAGGTCATCCAATTCCATTGCAGAAGTGGTGGCATTTAATTCACAAACGAGATTAACCTGCAAATACAAGAGAAATTATCAAGGAAAAGACATGACCCACCCTAATAGAAAAAAAAGTAAAAAAATTTGAAAAATCCTAGCAACCATAAAAAAGGAAATTCTAAGAACATAAGACAATTACCATAGAGCGAATGGATGAATCATTCTCAGCAAGAGCACCCAAAAGATTACAGATTGACGACCGAACACCCCTTTCAGCAGATATAAGAATGGGAGATACAGCCTTCAAGATTTTAGTGTTAGCTTCACTTCGTAATACTGAAACTATATCCCCGAGGATCTGCAAAGCTTCCATACACAAATCTAACAAAAAAAACAAAACAAATTACTTCAGAAAAAAGAACTAAACAAAATGAACTCTTATTGGAAAGGGAATAGGACCCTACCAGAATTTTTTATGCCATCTGACGCAAGCAAAAGCAAGATATCCACAAACTTTCTTGCTCCTGATTGATCATTTATGAACTTTGATAGCAATTTCAGAACTCTCAGCAAAGTTTCCCCAGGATGTTTTAGCAACTTCCTGCAAAAAAGACGGATGAAACCCACAAAACGATACAGGCAAAAAAAAATCACTGCCCAGAATGTAAATTTGGCATTCATTGCCCACTTATGGGATTAAGGCTTTGATTGATTGATTGACTGCCCAAAAGTAAAATTGGCAGAAACTATAAGGTAAAAATAAACAAGATCCACTGAAGAAATGATGAAATAGAGACTGAAAAATGATTTAAAGCAAATGACGAGGGAATGAGTAGTGAAGGCACGAGCGTCAACCGGAGAAATAAAGACTACTAGCATAGCGCCAAATTAAAAGCGTTAGATAATCCAATGAGGCCCTATTCTCTTCACCAAATAAATTCTACCTCCGTTAACTTTTAGTTGCAACTTTGGGGTATTATTTGTGAGATATAAAATATTCCAAAGTTGCAACTAAAAGTTATCGGAGGTAGTAACAAATATAAAAAGTAAATCCGGTAAAAACAAATAAACGGAGGAAGTAATTGTTATTCTTTATATATATAGAGTGAGAAATAGATATTTGCCAAAATAATCATCATCATTCGCACCAAAATTACACGAGACTGGATTTTCACTTTAAAACGACTAGATAGATAATATTAGATAATATCCAAATACACTAGGATATTATCAAATACTATCTATGTCCTATGTTTGAGACTTGGAGCTTCACAACGATCCTCTACCTCATGGGTTCTATTAATATAAAAGTAGATATAATGAGAGTCAATGTAGTATTTATGTAATTACTTTAACGAAAAATTAACAATATCTCTCAATTTTCCGCTAATTAACTGTAGATATGTGGTGTAAGAGAACTATGAAAGAGATGAGTGGGTGTAGAAAAAGTAAGAGAGGGTGTAAAAGATAGGTGGCTGTAAAACAAAGTAAGAGAGAAGGTAAAAGGGTGTGTGGGTGTAAGTTAAAGTAAGAGAGTCAGAGAATGTAAAAAAAGTCGTAGGTGTAAGATAAAGAAAGAGAGTGAAAATGTGTACATATGTGTGGTTGGAGGGTTTGATAGGAAAGATAATATGACAATAATTGAATTAAAAAAAAATGAGTAGAACAAACGAAACAATTATAGATGCCAAGCAACTAGAACAATAAAACTTTTTATAGTTAAGATGATAGCAACTTGGTAATATCAAACCAATGACAATCAGTAAAAACAAACTTTAATCAGTAATAAAACTAATAATCAAATTGAATAAGTAAATATCTAATAAATATAAAATAAAAAAAAAAATCAGTAAAATAATTGTCAAGTAAATAACCTTGTAGCTAATGTAAGATGAATAACCGTGAAGGTGGCTTCAAAATGGGCAAAAACAGCGAAAGCCTTTCACAATTATATTAAAGGGAGATTAGAAGAAAATGGGATGCTTTCCAGTTATGGTTTTTGCAGTTACTTTACAAGGACACCTCATCCTCTTTTTGTACATGGTTCTATGCACTTCTTTAATAAATTAATAGATAAGAAAATTCCATCAATTACAAAAATACCTAGATTTGGAGTCAAAGGTCTTTTAGTAGGCAAAGTTTTACCTACTAGATTTCACAGCTTCAATAAAACATGCCTTCCAATACAGAAAGTATTTACAGTCCCACTTCCTCACCCTCTCAGTTAATGAAACATAGAGGGTTGTCAATATTCCTAACCTAAGTGACCTTGTAGCTAACCAAGAAGAATAAAAGTGAAGAAGGCTAAAGAATAGAAAGAAGAAACGTCTTCACTCATCAATTATATTTTAATGCTTGAAGAACCATCAAGAAACATTATGCTGAATTGCTGAGTAAATCTTGATAGAAAACAGACAAACAGAAATCAAAAACACAAATAATTAATCTTCACTTCAATTAGAGAGCTATGTAGAAACATAACGAGCACATATAAAATAATATACCTTTTTTTCTCAGTGAATGAATGAAATAGATGATGCAGGCTGTCAATAAGACCATCAAGGTTTGAACAAAAAACGTCATCAATAACATATCCATCAATCCCAAGCTCATCTTTAACAGTTAGAAGGTTCTCAGTGAACTTGAGAACGCTATAAATTATGGCTTCAGAAGCAGTTGGAACAGATAAGATTGAAAAGATATCTGGAATTAGGTTCTTTTCTCTGCATAAAAGAGAAACAAGTCTCTGACTCTGGCTCATTGCAAGAAAGCAAAAGAACAAAGAGCTTGGCTTTTCGCTACTTGAGCCCTCCTGCTTGAATCCACGTACTAAAGGCTTCACTGCCCTGAAGAATATATCCCAAAATGTAGAGCCAAAATCATGGTCCTCGTAATTATTAAGAATGGAAGAAATGATCTTCAGGCATAATGATCTCATATCTTTAAATTGCTTGACCGCCGAGCTGGTCTGTACATATATTCACAAATATGATCAGTGATTACAGCAAATTTTCTGCTTATCCAAAGTATATATGTAAGTGTAATACTACAGATTAAAGCCATTTTCAATAATAATCACTGGTGAGTTACATATTTTTTAGCAAAAAGACAAGTGACACTATTATACTTGCCTACTGAACCTAACCAAGCCCAGATCTACTTTTCCAGCCTCACCAAAGACACGCATATGTAAATATGTAACATTTATCACAAACAAATTAAAGCAGTAAATTATGTAGTAAATTGTACCCATACATGGTTCATAGCTTCCTTTCTACTTTCTTGCAAGTTAATATCGGATGAATCATCAAGTTGAGCAGGTTGCTTAGGACTTTTATTCAGAATACTTGAAGCACAGCTGTCGAGAATACGGACAACACAACCCAAGAGAAGATCGAGAAATGGGCTGACACGTGAAGCATCAAAAATACTAAAAATTTCTTCAACCACGTGTAAAAACCCAAATCTCTTTTTTAAGGGAATGGCAATTATTCTTTCCACAGAGAATAAATTCAATAAAGTTGGCAATTCAAATCCATCCAAATTGCATTTCTCTGAAACCCAAGCACAACTTTCTATTTCTTCATTATTAAGATCAGTAATTTGCAAAGACTTCAACAATAGTTGAAAGAAAAGAGGAAGCTCAGCAACAGTGAATTCAGCAATGAATCCCAGCACAGCCTTTCGATTGCTCACACTTGCATGCTGTATGATAAGGAAACAAAAAAATGTTAAGTTAGCAATTCAATTGGACAAAAAAGCAATCAACCACTAAACCATCTCACCTTTCTTGAGGCAAGTGTCTTAAGGCTTCTAACTTTTGGCATCAGCAATCGAATAACTAATGGGACAAGTTGGGCTCTGTGCTCTTCTTCAACCAAATTAGAGTCTTCAGATAAACTCCAAGTAGCAATTTCTTCTCTCAAACATTTTGAACTGACAAGATTCTTCAGATGCTTCTCATAAGGGAGCAAGAACCTATCCTTCCAATTTAAGAGACAATCCAAAACCCTTATTTGTATCTCAACATCATTATTATCAAGCAACCTGGAAACCTCACTCCCGTCATATTCCAATCACAACAATACAGAGGGAAAACAGACATATAAACATATACATATATATATATTTACAAACCTATTCACCAAGACTTCTTTCAATAGTTGACTGCAGTAAAATGACCTGGGATTCTTCATCAACTTAAAAAGGTTAAGCCACTCCATGAGTACAACTTTCCAATCCTTACCAGCACAAGCAAGTGAATCAAACGATTCCAACCTACAACAGAGGCACATATATAACAGACAATTAGTACAATTCTCCAAGCCACGCCATAAAATGACTAGCCCAGATCTAATCATTTAATAAAAAAAAAATTTAAAAAAAATTAAATAAAATAAAAAATTAAAAAAAAAATCAGCACTCACCGCGGGTTTTCATCACTGTAGCCCAGAAATTTCAAAAATAATGGAACTATTTGGCGAGAATGTGACTCAGTAACGGTTGGAATCCTTTGTAAGGCTTGGAGTAGCAAAGGAGTTATAGACAAGCCAGATCTATCAGATGATGTTGTGCTACAAAAGGAACGGAAATGTTCCACCAACTCTAACAAGAGCAACAGAGAAAGCAGTTAGAAAGCCATTAATACAATACCTTGTCAGCCAGCAAACTTGTAAAAATTCACTGTATAGCCTACCAGTTATCTTAGGGGATAAGAATTTCAGTTCAAAATTTTAACTGAAGATGTTTATATATTTAAACAATGCACTAGAAGTAGAACTGACAACCAGGTTGATTAGGAAGGGTTGGGGTTGAAAATGTTCAGGTTCAGGTCATTTGTCAGCTTGGTACATTTAAGATTTTGGTCAGAAAATGTTTGTTCTTGACCCACACATTTCGAGTTCAGGTAGACCAATTGATTAAGGGATTTCAGAAATGCTATTTAATTTTATAAGAGTTCAATATAAATAACCATATATCGATAAATATAAATATATATAAAAAAAAATAAAAAAAAAAAGTGCAATATAATATATAAGGATGAACTTATTTAATTATATGACATATTCAAGCATATAAAGATGTATGCAGCCAACCAAAACAATGTTATACCCAACAAATGTAACATTAACTACTATAAAGGCAATAATTTACTGGTCAATCAGAAAATAAATGGGATGGTCGGGTTTGACACTATTTTTTGAATTAGTCAGACTTATGTAAAAAAATAAGGTTTCAGATCATGATATCTTGTTCATGACCCACTTTTTTGCATTAGGTCGATTTTTTACAGGTCTAATTAGAGGCAAATAGCAAACACAATTTTCCACCCAATATCTCAGATTATATGATAAATAGTTATGGACTTCAGGTTCTTGAATGACATAAGAATTTTGAAGAGCTAGTACAAACCAGTTTTATCGCTACATGCTATCATGTTGGAGTTGTCTAACCCATGAGCCTTTATACAACTGGTCTGGCATTTCTCAAAAAAGCAGATAAACTTATTCCACAAGAGCCCAGGATATGTGCTGATCATAGCAGAAAGGCACTCTAAAGCTGCATTTGATAAATCCATGTATTGGTTATACAGAAGCCCGATAGTGCCATAAAAAGCCGGCAGTACATGGGCTTCAGTTACCCCAGGAGCAGATAGAGAAGTCCGTATTCTAGAAACTAGCAAAGTGACCTTTCTACCAGTGGCAACTGAGATGGGTGTTTGCTCAATAGTAAGAAGCAGGTTAAATACCTGCATGTCGCAGAAAATAAAAAAAAAAAATAGCTGTTTAATGGCCAAATCAACACATAAATTTATGATCCATGATGAGGGGAAAAATAAAATTACTGAATAGAATGTACATTGTAGCTTTGGGTGCCAATGTGATCTTCTTCAGAAACTTCTGCATCCATCTGTTGTGATTCATAATTCAAAAGCTCATAATGACACAATATTTTAAGTGTCGAAACACGAAGTTCCTTGTTGGGATGAAATAGGTTCTCTGAAAATACATTCAAAGCATCCATCCCATCTGCTGCTTCAAGCTTTAGATGTCTTATCGAGACACCTTTGTTTTTTTGGAGACTCTCCCTGACATTTGTGCAGGTTTTATAAGACAAACTATTCTGACTGATTATTGCAGAAAAGCATAAAGGGTAGAAAATTATCAAATAATTGCTTATAAGAGCAACATAACCAGACTACTTACCCATATTTCGAATCCAAATACTCTGCTACAGCAGACAGTATTTGCTGTGATGATTTATAACTTTTTCCAAGATGCAAAATCTTGCAGGTATGTTCATGTTCAAATCTTTCAGGTCTTCCTGCACCATGATAACTTTGTAAAGCAGCACCAATTAGGCCCTGCCATATACATTTGGGAACTCCAGCCACAAAATCTGGAAAAATATACAAATGGATCAACAAATTATTGATGAACCAAATGAGTTAAAAAATCATTCAAGTTTGAACCTTGAGACTCTGTTACAGTAGGAAAAGAATTAAGACCAAATGTTAAATACAACAGTATCCAGAAAGTTATGTAGCACTTTTTTTCAACATTCAAGGGAATGCATGCATGTATGGAATGCAATACAACAAAACGACATTCCTAATAGTTACCCAGCGATCAGGGTTCAAAATAGAGCTTAGAACATGAAGCAATTCTGTTATGGACTGACTTAGGATTTTCTAATTTAAGGACTAATTAAGATATAAAAGCTTGATAATTTAGATTAATAATGGCAGAATTTGGATACAAAAGGATAGATTAAAAGCTTAAGGCTATCACTCTCTTGATAACTTTAGGTTATCACTCTCCTAGTAACTTGAGGTTACTACTCTCAACATTTTTCCTCACAATTCACATCATAGCTAATGCATACACTATCCCTTATTTATACTAAGGCTTAGTTAGGAATAAGGGCTACTAACCTAAAAGTACTAAAATTCCCAAACTACCCTTGTTAATGTTAGTCTATTACATTACCGGCCCCCTAAACTTCCACCGTGTCCTCAAGGTGGATAATAATCGGCACTTGATTCTCGGCGACAGCAATGATCTGTCAAGGTTGATGAAGGATGTGAAATTTGGCTTGAATGTATAAGGTTATAAGAGTTGGGTTTCATAGCTGATGTTGGATGGATAGGCCTAGAGTTAACAAGCCCAAAAACATGAAGGGTAAGTGGGCCCAATAATTTGCATTGCTTCATCAAATTGAATTGGGTTAGCCTGTAGCTCTTTTCTTTCCATATATGCACGTAGCACTAGCTGCCCATTGACCAATTTGCCCTTACTAACCCCATCTTGTATAATTGGCTTCCTCCCCAAGGCATTGAAAATTTCAGTCAACCCTCTGCCAAAAGCATTTCTGCCAAAAGCTGCTCTTTTTGCATACTTCAAGAGGCCACCAATCACCCATTCCTCTTGAATCCTTTCTCTTGCTCCACTTCCGGTCAAACCCCCACCGCCGGAAAACCACCCGCGAATTCTCCACGTTTTTGCTGCGTGTAGCCACCATGACCAACACCGCATCTGCCATGGAAGTTCCTGCGCCATTCCCCACCTTTTTCTCCGGCGAGCCACCCATGTCCACCACCACACCAGCCACACAGACCACCAGATTTTTCGCCTCCACTGTGACCCCCCTCAAATTCGTTGCAAACACCACCAGCAAGACCACGGAACCCACCAAATATCCACCACTCATTCATCCCACCACCTGCAAAGTACCCCAGTCCACTTTCAAACAAGCCACCTCCGACCAAGAGACCACCACCAGTAAACCCATCGGAAAAATCGCCACTCTTTACCCTTTCTTTACCTTGCGGCTCATTGTTCAAATTTGTATGGCCACCAGCAATCCCTTGTTCACACGCCCGACACCAACATCCCGGGCCACCACCTGACCCACTTGCGGCTGACCCGCCTTTCACGAAGTCAGCTCCGTCTCTGTTCAGGCCACCACTAGCGGCGGTCTCACCATCACTCTCAACTTTTCCGGTTAACGCTCCTGAACCACCGCCAGATCCACTACTATTGGCGCCACCCTTCTCAAAAAATCCTCCTATTCCATTGCCTACAAACACCTCAACTTCAGCCCTTTGCACGGTACTAAAATCCACCCAAACTGCACGAGCTTCGCCGCCAAACTCGCTGTTGACCAACTCGCTGTTGACTCCACCCGTACCTCCACCGGAAAACCCATCACCGAAATCACCAATCCTTCCACCAGATATATGTTTTCCCACAAAGCTCTCAAATCCGCAACCCAATTCGCCGTCAAAGTTTCCTGAACAACCATGTCTCCCATCCCGGCCTGCCTCGCATACAACTCCAGTTGGGTTGAGTGTGAAACCCTCTGGTAAAGTGCTCACCCCACTGCCAGATCCACACGCCACCGGGTCTTGCACTTCTTGACTCTTCAGGTGTACTACCTCGCTGCTGAACCAGGGACCACAACAGTAATCAGATTGTGTCGTCGTTGAACGGAACTGGCGGACCAACTGAACCTTCAATATCTGCCACCCATTGAATGGTAGCCACCTGTGTTCACATTCGAACCACTGTAACGCTTCGCCGCAAAGCCCGATGATGGCAACCTTGAGCTTCTCCTTTTCATTCAACTGGAAAAAATGAAAGTAATCCTCCATTTGGAAGATCCAGTCATCTGAGTTTCTTCCATTAAATTCGTGAATTTGAAGCTCCTGCCGGATTCTCTTCTCCTCGGGATCTGAAATTCCTTGCTCCCTTTTAAGGGAAATGTATTTAAATTCCTCATGAATCCATTTCTTCATGAGTCGTTCGCCATCTGTTCCCGCAAACTGCATTTTTTTTAATTTTTTTTTTAAAATGCGGTGGTACGGACTGGTGGTTCCACTCAACGGCAGCCCACAAGACCGCCTGCTCTGATACCAATTTGTTATGGACTGACTTAGGATTTTCTAATTTAAGGACTAATTAAGATATAAAAGCTTGATAATTTAGATTAATAATGGCAGAATTTGGATACAAAAGGATAGATTAAAAGCTTAAGGCTATCACTCTCTTGATAACTTTAGGTTATCACTCTCCTAGTAACTTGAGGTTACTACTCTCAACATTTTTCCTCACAATTCACATCATAGCTAATGCATACACTATCCCTTATTTATACTAAGGCTTAGTTAGGAATAAGGGCTACTAACCTAAAAGTACTAAAATTCCCAAACTACCCTTGTTAATGTTAGTCTATTACAAATTCATTATAAAAGACATGCTGAAAACGATATCCGTAACCGAAATGTCATTCCATTGGTAAGATTTTATACTTTTTACAAAAGATCCGCAAAAATTCTATCCACGCTTCGCCAAACTGCAGATCTCATAGTGATTATTGCATTCCATTTGATAAAACCACTTTGACAGTCCTTAGAGATAGCAAAAATAATAATAATTTCATCGACCAAAATGAGACAACAGGAGTGCTTCTAAAACCAATTTGACAGTCTTTGGAGTTACCAATACTAAGGTTTCCCATCAAGGGTTTAATGACAGCTATGTAGCCAATAGGCAAGTAACATAACCTACCATCCCATAAGTGTAAAAATATCAGCTTACTATACTCAGATTTCCCAAACCTAAATAGGCCATTATTTCGGCCAATACAGCCAAAAACAGAAACAAGGACAGTATGTGTAACACCCCCGAGGGTGTTACAGTACGGCAGCTAGAAATAACATTAAATCACGGCATATCAACCACGACCATTTATGTGAACCCACAATAAGCATACGAATTTATGAATAGCTTAAATGTTCCCCTTTCCTCAATCGGTAATCAAAAAAAGGGTTTCTTTAGATTACACAGACTATATTTCAATAGTCATACAACAATGACTATTAAACATCAGCTACAAGTATAAAAACGAAATTTTAGAGACTGCTAAAGACAATAAAAAAAATAATAATAATAATACGGCAGAAACTAACATATAAATCCTGCCCAGTCAACCCTCACTTTTTACGTGATGCCGCATAAACAATACTTCTGCGATGCATAAGCCTAACCACAATTGAGACCACAACCCCATTTTAGAAACCTGTTTCTATTTTAGAAAATTAGAAATGAACACAGTTATTTAACTGTGGAAAAGTGAAACACTCTGACACTAATGAAAAATGCAACATTTAGTATCTTTAAGTTAGCCAGAAGAGAGACGAGAAAGCTCAATTTTAAAGTTTGAAAACAAAATCTAACTCCAAGAAGAAAACAATACAAACTGTTACCAAATTAAGGTGGTTAAATATTACTACCAGGGTGAGCTCTACATTTCTGCTTATAAACATACAATTTTGCATAGTTATTCTCATGCTCCACAATCAAATTAAGTGGTCAATTGGATGAAAGGTGGGTAAAATTTGGTGGATTCTGCACCAAATCTCTCCTGGTTGGAGCAGGAAGGTATTTCTTTGGTGAAATGGAGAAACTGGGGATATCAAACATGCCCGCCATGGGTAGTTGATAGGTGGTGAGTATCAGAACTTTCCTGCACCACCCCAAATCCAATTACAACACACCAACCCTACCCAAATATTATACAATATAATAATATCATCAAATGGTAAAATTAAAGGTGATATTACATGTATACCAGGTAGGCAGGAATTGAATATCACACTTAGGTGGATATTACATGTATACAAGGTAGGCAGGAATTGAATCACACTTAGATAGTCAGAATGGGCAGCAGGGCAGGTATAGATGGATAGTAAAAAACCTCTTAATTGATGAAATAGGTATGATTTTAAAGCTGTACCTACCTTGGTGTGCATGGATGTTGGTGTTGACATGGGTGAGGGGTATATGAGTAAGTGGTAGATATGGGTATAGGATAAGGTGTAACCACATCTGACCATTGTTGTCCCTAACTGACCTTTACTAGACAAGTAGACATAGAGTAAGATATTCATAGAGCATCCTAAGGAGCAAATTCAAAGTGAAGGTGGTCCCATTCTCTCTTCTGCAATATTTTAAGAACAAGATGTTGCATCATTGCCACTACCAATTGAGACTGTTAAGTTAAAAAAATTCCAAAGAGAATCCTTCAACAAGACATTTCTAGCTCGTGTGAAACTACTGAGTTAAAAGTTGTACCTGTTTCAGTTATTAATAGCCGATCAACCTCATCAACCAAATTCATCAGATACTCATTCCCCTCGACAGATAAGAAATAAGGGATGCAACAAATGGTTCCCCAAAGTAAAGCCAAAGCGTCCTCATCTACTACTTCATCAATTATTGTATCCTTGTGCGTCATATTTTTTATCACTCCTATCCAGTAGCAGATTGTCTCTTGAAAAAAACATCTGGACTTTACAACCAATTCCTTTGGCATTCCTTCTAGAACATTAAAACATCCTGTTTTAGCTTGAAATCTTTCACAATAAGCCAGCATCAAATGTAGAGCTTCTCCCTTAGCTATTTCCAGTACATTCAAACAACCACTATCAAAATGACAAAAAAGCTCAGTAAGTAATGCTGTAAAGTATTGTTAAGTATCGGCAACATATCCATGTGGCAAAGCTACCTTAAAATATTGCTTTGGAATGCAATTATAGCATAGTCCTTCATGACCAAATCTTTCAAGAGCGTAAGCAAACTGAAACAAAGAATTAAAATGTCAGCTCAATAGACCTGCTTTTACAGAAAGCCTAAAAATCAACCACTATTACCAAGTATCTAAGGTAGGATACCTTGAGCTCTTTAATTGAAAGACAGGAGCCCACTGCAAGGCAAGTTCAGGAATACCAGTCGAATTGTTGTTATTGCAAATACCATCAAGAACGCACAACAGGAGCTGAAAAGTTTTATCAGCAGCCTCAGATACCAGTCCCTTTGTTTCACCACTGCTAAATGGAAGAATAAATTTCCACATGAGCAAATCTAATAGCTTCTGCATTTGCTTGTAGTCTGCACATATATATAGAGCAGTCACATTAAGAAACAGTTATACAGCTTCACAGCCTACAAGAACTTTACACACAAAAATTCATAAGCTCACTCACAACCTACCACCAACTTTTCGGCCATGATCAACAGAAATTATTGATATAAGCACTGATAACAGGCAGGATAAATGTTGAGAATATCCGCCAGATAGAGAATTAGCAACAGCTTCATACAAGCTATTCCATATCAGCTTCAGCTCACTGACATCCAGCTCCATACATCTTTCAAGAGACGCAATCACAATTTCAGTAACAGTGTCAGAACCTGTAGTGAAATGAAATGGTGAAAAGTATATAGGGTGAAAAGCTTTGAACTTTCACTAAAGAGGTTGATGCCTAATAAGATACAGAAAGACAGCAAAAGATTAAAAAGATAGAAAAAAATAAACCAAAGGCAAATCAAAAATTCACAACCTACCTTGGTTAAACTTGTCGCCTATACTTAAGAAGCCACTATCTGTTAATAAGTCCAGCACTCGAGATGCGCGTGAATGAAAGTTAGATGATGTTCCTCTCATAATATGCCACAGCAACGCACTAGCTCCAAATTTTTTGGCCTCAGATGGTTTTCTTGCAGCTTCATGCAGAATTTTACTAACACCTGCATACAATATTAATAATCAATAACCAAAGACTGACAGGAAAATATAAGGGTCTCTTATATACAGCAATAATTACCTAGCTTATAATTGCACATATGAACCAGGCCGAAACAGGTATCACTCAATGCATAATAAAGTCAATCATTCAAGGATCAACTTTACTTAAGAACTGTGTGGACAAAAGTTCAAAGGGGCAAAACACATGACAGAACCTAAAAGAGTATAAAATACAGAAGGAAATCAGCCTTCATTTAAGTACTTATGTATTACTACTCAAATTACGAGTGCAGAAATACAAGCAGGAAGGCAAGCAGAAAAGTGCAGTATGAAAAAATGCACTGTGGAGGTCAATCAGTCAATCAAGATCAATTGAACTCCATTGAATTAACTTCAGTTTCATTATACAGTGGAAGACCGAATTATTGAACTACATAAATATACAGAGGACCAGAAGTAGATAAACCAAACTATGCGCATATAAGAGCACAAAAATTCACCACAAAACAACACATATGGAGCCATGAGTCTAAATGTCTGATAGTGTACCTCTTTTAAAAATCTCCAGCTGACAAGGTCAGGAAGAAAGCCTAGGATAACATTTAATTTTATAATTAATTCAACATTCCCCTACCGAAGAAACTTTCAATATTCTTCTCTAATTGCCTACAGTGAGTAATAATTACAAAGCATAGAACACCATAGAACACAACACCCCACAAAAGCAGCACATCAAGCATTTTAAAGCACTAGGTGGATAACATTCAAGAGGTAGATGACTCATGGTGAAACATAGAAGATAATGACAAAAAAAAAAGGATTTATTATGAGTTATTACTGATTCAACTGAATGCAATTAAACTGACACTAACACATTTTAACTAGCCAATCAAGCAGCTCAAATCTGAAGATAAATGATCTAGAATATCTGAAGGCTAATCACTTTGTACGTTTACAGAAAATTTTTACTAACATCACCTTCTTTAAGTTGTGGAGTAGGTGCATTTCTCAGCAAAAATGACAGCGCTTTAGCCATAAACTCCTGGACAAAATCTTTGGGATAATATCTTAGTTTGACTGTAACCCTACAGAAGCAAATTTACAACATTGTCAAAGGATTTTCAGTCAACAGTGAGTAATTGTCAATGCCTAGTGAATCTATACCACCAACAAAAACAACAAAGCCTTACAACCAAAATGATTTGGGGTCGGCTATCCATGAAGAAAAAAGAGCATGGCAAGGTAGTCAATTGACAAATAATATATTAATACTATAATAGTGCCAAAACATACTATCATATACTATAATAGTGCCACACAAAAAAAAAAGAGACACAGCACACACACACACACACGGATGGCTGGTATCGGAAAACCTAATTCGAGAACAATAAACTAAGCAAATGGTAAGAAGAAAAATTAATCTTAAATCAAATTCAATTAGACTATCAATTAACACATTTTACAACAAAGACAAGGTCATCAACGAATATCTAATATGGGTGCAAAGCTAAGTTCTCAATAAAAACAATTCAAAAGGTTTGGGGCATGATAAGTTGGTACAAGATTTGGATATGGGTAAAACGACACGTGAATGTTAATAAATATATATTTGTTGTAATACGTAGTGTATACTACCTCTATTCTTTCATGTTCTACTCGCAAAAGATACGCGATTTAAAAAATTGTTGAAGAATTAAGTGTAAGATAACTGCGAGAAAGAATGTAAAAAAGTGGGTTTGTGTAAGAATAAGGTGAATAAAGCAAGAGAGAGAGTATGGAAAGGTGTAATTATTGTGGGGTTGAAGAGATAAGATGGTAAAATGGATATGTCATAAAGAGAATAAATCAAAGTGAATAGAACATAAAAGAACGGCCAAAAAAATAGAACAAAAAAGAACGAAAGGAGTATTTAGTAATATTTAGTGTATAATAAGAAGTGTATATTATTAATTTTTATCGTATATTTATTTATATTATTAATTGGGTTAAATGAGAATTTTCTTCCATCTAGGTTCCAAGGACCCTTTGCACTTCAGTGCGCCTCATGACATTTTTAAGTTAAGAGTCAAAACTCCCACTTTGGAACTTACAAAATACAAGTGTAAGGACTATAATTTTAAAATCAACAATTTCTTAAGTTTAAAATGGAATGTTGAAAGACAAGAATAATAAATATATGTGTTAAGTGGAAGCTTTAAGAATAAAAAAGACAAATAAAAAAATTGGTTGGTTGGAATGATGTGAGAAAAAGAAGAGCAAATAATAGATTGAGAAGATTGTTAAAACTTGAAAATAAATTGGAAAAAAAGTAATGTAAATGGATCGTGTTAATGCATCAAATAATAAGGTGAGTCATCGACCTTAATATGGAATAACGCATAGTGTAACCATTAATTTGAAAAACACTTTCATGTACAGTTTTGAACATTATGGAAGGAGAATCAAATAAGGGGCACCAGGTGACTTTCCAGCAAGAAAAGGAATTGTAACAACTGCTTGATGCAAAAAGAAATACAATCCTACTAACATTTGTTTATATGGAAAGGAAAAATTTTATATTTTCCCAAACAGCTCGTATCAAAAAAATATGTTGAAGCACTTAAAATACCACTAAACTAATTATGATAAAATTTCCCACAGTAAAACGTTTTAACTTCAAATCACGTCCTATAAACACATGAACATAAAGCCAAAATAGATCAATATAATTTATTTCGATTTTTTTTTTTTCAATCCAACTGAAGAACGCATGCATAACCCAAGTTAGGAGAACATAGGCAATATGATAGAAAAAAAATAATAACAAATAAGATAACTTGCTAAACATTTAAAATATAAACTTGCACTTACTCGAGAACTTGAACAACTTTTTGGGTGAGATACCTCTGCAAGTACATCATTATATATGACAACGAGGTAAACATCTGCAAACAAGTAAATCAGCTCTTTCATAAGTATTTGTAATCCTAAGAAGTACAAAAGGCAGACAGAGAAGGATATTCCTAAGAGACATAGGTAGACCTGCTCAATAATCTCTGGTTCTCGGTCAGCTTTATCTTTGAGAAGACCCAAGTAAGACTCAATAATCCTTGGAAGAAAGCTGTCAAAAAGTACATGAAGGAAGCATGTTAAATGATATTGACAATTCTTCTGAATTGGAGAAAAAAAAAAAAAAAAAACCTTTCAAGAAATTTAAAAAAAAAAATAAAAACAATTTAAAGCACATGGAAGAAATAGAATCACATATAAAAAAAATAAATCTACTACCTCCATTTAACATTTTTTGCAACTTTAACCAAAAATGTCAGCTACACTTTTTTTGCAACTTTCCAAAAGTTTTTTAAATTAATTTACTAAAACACCCTTACTAAAATTTTTAAAAAGTCAATTAGTACTTAAAACAAAACTTTATCAAGACAATAATCCAACCAACCATTTCAATTCATTGAACAATACTGATCTATCATCGAATCTCTCCAGAAAAATCAAACCCAATTCTTGAACTTCTTCTTCTTCAATTCCCCATTTTCTTTTTCTATCCTTTAATCTAACCCCCTATCTCTCTCTCCCACGAAGACAAACCATTTGGGTGGTGAAGATCTACCCATGGACAATGATGACGGAAAGTTTGCGATTATGGTGGTGGTTATGCGGTGGTTCTGGGTTTGGTTTTAGGTTTTGGGTAGTATGGTTGCAGGCTTGAAGCGGGGTTGGTTTCGGGTTTGTGTGTATGTGTGTGTGTGTGTGTGTGTGGTGGCTACGGGATGGGTTTAGGTTTTGGGTGTGGTGGCTAATGGATGTGTGGTGGTTCGGCGGTATCCGTGAGGCTAGTGTTGGTGACTGGTACTAGGCGATGCGTCAAGATGGTGGACTGGTGGTGCGTAGAGGTGGTGATGTGTGTGGCTGGTGTTATGGAAGGTGGTAAATTAATTATTAATTTATCCCCAATTTCTCTCTTCTTCCTTAATCACATGTCCCTCCCTTTTCTTAATCTCCATTTCTCATTTTTTGCCTAGGAGTCCGTGTCAACTCCAAAGTTGCAAAAAATGTGTAACGGAGGTAGTAGAAAAAATTATATGATCTGGAAGCACCTAGATTGACAAGGACAATATTAAGTTCTGTTTTCTCGGGATCTTGAATAGTAATTAGAGTACTGCATCAGTATCACCGTCTATAACATCATGCATGATTCTATATAAATAGAAGGATTAAGTTTTGTCTGGGGGCACAGGTATAAACCCAACCTCTTTTTTTTGGGAGGAAATAAACCCAACTAACATTATTTAATTAATAGTAACTAATGATAATTAGTCATTCCAAAGATCTGCTCAAAACCCAAAATGCCATCTAAAATAAATAATTAAGGAACAAATTAGATTTGAACGTTTAAAAGGCAGCATTAGTAATTCCTAGAATTAAATCATCACTAGACATTTTGGTGAAGCTATAGACATCCTATCAGCATAGGAAGAGTGGTTTTTAAGTCACTTATGCAGCCATCTTTATTAGACGAACAATTTCAAATCATACTTAAATCCCATATACTTTCTCTTGGTTCATGAAGTGGAGACTCAAGGGAAATGCAACACAAAAAACCCTAGCTGTCTGTCAAATGAGTAAGGCGCTTGTACAGTTGTAGTGGTGGATTAAGACTGATTTGCTTGCCTTTTGAGGTGTTCCTGACTCCTTGCAATCAAGATTAGAAAGCAACCTTATGAAGTGTTCTTGACTTCTTGCAGTCAAGAGAAAAAATCAAAATTAAACTAGATTGAGCAGTTGTTGGTGGTACTCTCTATCCAAGTGAATAATTGACTTTAAACTCAGAATATCTATGCATAATATCAATTTTTTTAACTGATCAGGTCCATATACTTTCATTTTCATTCCCCAGCAAATAACCCAGCTAAAAGATTGTCCTGGGTGGGTTTTAAAGATGTCAGATTGCATACCAAGTACCAACATCACTAAGTGCAAGATTACAGGATTATAAAAAAAAAAAATTTAAAAAAAAAAACATCAGCACAGAATTGAAGCTACTTTATACCAGTGCCATTTTGTTTAATACAAAGTAACAGAGAAGCTATACCGGAGAGTTAGATCGCAATATTGATAAATAAATTATAACAACTGACAATCACAAACTTACGGTATAAACTCTTCACCTAGATCTCTTGATAACTCTGCAATCAACCTGTAGAGAAAATGAAGAGTTCATCCTCAATACCAAAATAATAACTTAATATTATTGCACTTCATATAACATTATAGAACCACCTATAACTCAATAAGAAGGAAACAAAAACTTATTATATATCAATCAATCATAAGTGGGGTTGGCTACATAAACCAAAAGTGATTATTCTGTATAAACTAAAAAAATCAAAATTGTAAATACGAATAAACAGAACCAGCACTCTACACAATATTACATTCCACAAGTGTTTCATAGGGATAATTAGCTAGTGAAAATCCAGATTAAAAAAAAGGCAAACCTGAAAATAGCCTCTAGTGAAAGCCGCGCTTTCATTTGCAACCTAGACAAGAGTCTCGCGATTATCATATCTTTGTGTAATAGAGCCAACGACAAGGTTTGTACAAGAGGCATCAATTCTTCATATAACGAAATAAAATCCTCAGCTGTATTTAACTCCTGAACCAAAACCCCGACAACAAAATTATAAACAAGTGACCGCGAAATGTGACACCTTCCCATTGACAACATTAAAGCTAAGAACTTTTGAATGCAAATTGCTTAATTATGATTACATGATTTATTTATGAACCTACTATTGTTTCTATCAAAATAAAACAGTAATGATAAAAGGATTATAGTAAAATAATTAGCATACTATTGTTTCCATCAAAATTAGCCATATGAGAATAAAATCAAAATCAAATTAAACAATAATAATGTTAACTGATTACAGTAAAATAATTAGCATACCCTCCAATGTATTAGACAATCCAAGAAGAAATAAGAGCCAGAAGAGGGCTTAGCCTTGACGGTATCGAGATTTCGAAAAACATTGATTTCCAGCTCGTCGATTTGTTGAGCACATGATTTGTACTGCACAACAAAATTTCAAACAATTGAATTAACTCAATTCCGAACAAACAAATTCAAACATCAAAAATTTTAAAAAATAAAAATTACATAAAATAAGTAGGGTTTAAAGTAGGGTTTATGGTAGAAGTGAGAGAAGAGTACCACAAAGCGGCGGTTGCGGAGGCCGGGAGTAGTATTGAGAGATTTAACGGCCTGAGCTTCATTGGCCGACGCCATTGATGGTTGCTGCTGAAAAAAGATAACAGAAGAGGAGATTGAAGGTGTGAAAATGGTGGTGAATAAAAATGTGATAGAAACAGAGAAAGGCGGCAAAAAATTATTATCGAAAGAGTGTAAAGTAAAGAGGGGATATATAGGTTTTCATTTACCACCAGCTGTTGCGGCTATATATCAGAGCTCGCCCTCTTATTTCTTTTACTACTTCGTCCACCTCTTTATTTTGGAAAAATTGTCAAACCGAGCGTTTTTGGAAAACAATTTTCCAAACAAGACGCGTGCCAAAACTATTTACCAAACTAAGCTTTCAGGGTAAAACGCCACCCGGGCAATTTTTTTTTTTAATTTTTATTCAAAGGTAAAACGCCATCAAGGGTGGCGTTTTACTGCTGGGCAAATTTTTTTAAAAAAAAACATTTACACAAAAACGCTAACACCGTTGGCGTTTTACTTTTAACACAAAAGCGCTAACGTCGTTGGCGTTTTAGAGTCGGGTATTTCTAACAGCATATATCGTTGTTCTTCATTATTCAACCAAACCCCCAAATTGCAAACCCTAACCCCGCGCATACCAACTTCCAATTCTCCATATTTGAAGCAATTTCATCACATTCCGTAGCTTAGTTTTGCATCATAGTCAATAAAAATTAATCCTCCTTCTTTGTTCAACACTGTTACGCCCTACTTTCATCGAAATTGAGGTATGTCTTGAATTTAACTATTTTAATTGTGTATGATGTTTTTTGGGAATTTATGTTTGTAATTTACAATGTATGTACTATAGTGTTGTTCAAGTATGCGAAATATGTATAACTACATAATACATTGTTGTTTAATTATTGAAATTAAGTATAGTTATATGTATGTTGTATAATTTCGTATAATTTATATGAAGCATTTAGTTGTTGAACTACATATATGAAGCATTTAGGGAATTACGAACTACATTGTTGAGTTAAGTACATTTAAATGTATCTTACATTGTTAGATTAAGTAGGTAAGTTAGTATGTTGTTGAACACTGCGTTGTATGTACGCTTTGCTTGGGGATTTATTGGAATCATTGTGGTTTTAGTTGTGCATATGTGTCACCTAATATGTGGTCTGATGTTATGTAGAACATGGCTTCACAATTGATTGTTTTGTTATGCCGTTGGGGGGGTGAAATTTTGTGTGTCGGACCCAATGTCGAGTATAGAGGAGGAAAAATGGAACCGCTAGCATTGAAACCTTGTATGACTTACAATGATTTGTTGAAGAAAGTTTATACTATAATTGGTTCAAAGCCAACAAGTGTTGAAGTGAACATCAAAATGAGGTTTGAAAGTGTTAGCGGGATTCAAATCTTACCTGTTTTGAATGACGACCATTTGGAGGTTTTGAGGGGTGTCGTTGCAATGAGGTCTCTTCCTACTGATTTGTATGTGGAAACGGTGCCTGTATGTACTCAACAACCAACATTTCTTCCATCATACAATGCAAGCTCTCTACAAATGCCCGCATATAACATTCCATCATCTGAATATGGAATGGGTTCTTTCAGTAGAATGTTACACGACAATCAATTTGACATTCCATTCAGTTCACAATTTACGGCGTCGGGGTCAATGCAGCAACCTGGTCCATCTACCTCAAACAATGACATTTCATCATCGATGCAGTTGCAAAGTTACTCTCCCACGCAAGAACATATTGAAACACCACCGTTTCAGACTTTGGTGAATGCTGAACTTGTTGTAAACAACGAGTTGTCTGTTCTTGATATGTTTAATGAAACAAACGACGAGGGTGAAGACGGAGATGAAGAAGATGTTATAAACAACGATTTGTCTGTGGATGATGTTGTTGCTAGAACTCCATTACCTTGGTTCAGTCAAATAAACGAGAACTATGAGGTGGACATACATTGGGGTGATTCGGGGAGCCAGTGTTCGTTTCGTGTCGGGGGAGAATTTGAGAAGGGCATGATTTTCGACAATAAGAAAGCGCTACAGGAAATGGTGAAATTGTATTCCATAGAGCGGAATCATTTCTACACCACAGTGACGTCGAATGAGAATGTCCTTCATTTAAAGTGCAAGAGGGGGTGTGGTTGGTCGCTACGTGGTACAAAAACAAATCTAACCACACGTGCCTTTAAGATCGTATCTTACAAGGGCCCACATCGCGACAATTGTGTTAATGAAGTTCCGCCCAGAGATCATCGACACTTGGACTCCTCTGTTATCTGCGACTATGTGAAGTCGTTTGTGCAGAAAGATCCATGTTTGAGAGTTGAGTTCATACAACATATCATCTCCAACAAATTTCAATTCGATGTTCCATATCGAAGAGCGTAGTATGCCAAACAGAAAGCGATTGCGGAAAATTTTGGGGATTGGGAGAGTTCATACAACAGACTTCCTTCATTCATGCAAGCCCTCCAGGAGTCGAACCCAGGCACTGTAGTTCTGTGGAAATACAAAGCTATTGCTGAAGGCGTTTATTACAGCAACATGGAGGTATTTGAACGAGTGTTTTGGGCCTTTAAGCCTTCCATCGATGGGTTCAAACACTGCATGCCTCTGTTATCTATTGATGAGACACACTTGTATGGGAAATATAAAGGCACACTTTTGGTTGCTACAAGTGTTGATGCTAATTTTCAGGTATTTCCTTTAGCATTTGCAATAGTTGAAGGGGAAAACACCTCGAGTTGGTCCTGGTTTCTAAGCTGCATTCGGGTTCATGTTACTGATCGAGAGGGCCTATGTGTTATATCTGACCGACATGCGGGGATTATTGCTGCGATGACTAACCCGGATGTTGGATTTCATGAGCCACGGGCCTTTCACAGGTTTTGCGTTCGACAAATGGCCTCTAACTTGAGGACCCATGTGAAAAACAACGACATGAGAGACAGGTTCAAGGCTGCTGCATACCAACGCCAAGAAAAAAAATTGGTTGAAGATATGCATTATATCGGCGAAGCTTGTGTTAAGTCCCTAGAGTACATCACGGATGTGCCGTTTCACAGATGGTCCTTGTTTCATGACGCTGGTCGGAGGCATGGTATATGTACTACAAATTTCTCAGAAACTTTTAACAATGTGTTGAAGGGAGCTCGTTTTCTGCCAATCATGTCCCTTGTCGAATTAACTTTCCACAGAGTTAACAAGTACTTTAACAGAAGCAGAGATAGTTCACTTGCTAGGCGTGCTCACGGATATGCATACTCACCTAAGGTCACCGCCATTTTGGAGAAGAATAATAGAAAGGCAAAATACCATACAGTGGATGTTTATAGCCGTCAGCTTGGTATATACCAAGTAAAAACACACCGAGGAGAAAGGATAGGGAGAAAAGGGGGTCATAAGCATACCGTTAACTTTAATTTAAGAACATGTACATGCAACAAACCGATGATATTTCACCTACCATGTTCTCATGTTCTAGCCGTGTGTCTTAAGTATTCAGTTTCTGAGGAACCGTGGGTGGACAGTTTCCTACGATCAGAGGCGTATGAAAATACTTATGCCCCACAATTCTGGCCTATTCCTTGTGAGACGACGTGGAGGTCATACAGAGGGCCTAAAATCATCCTGATGAGATCATGGTCCGAGGACACGGTCGCCCACCGTCGAAGCGTATACGAAATGAAATGGATGAGACAAACCGTCCACCAAGGAAATGTAGTCGTTGCCGTCAGGAAGGACACAATAAGAGATCTTGCCCTTTTCGAACGGACGGTGACCGGTAGTGGTGTTAGTTTATGTATTATTTTTATACCATGTTGTGTGTATGTGTTCAAGTAGGATGTAGCTGACTTTTTGTTTTACATTGTACGCTGAACAGAGATCATGGAGGGACAGGATCAGGGGCAGACAGGACATGACCCTGGACCAGCTGACCCTTCAGTGCTGACACTTCAGGATACCCATCGGAGCCGTGACATATGGGAGCAGATAGTAAGTTTTCATCTACCAAATATTTATTGTGTTTGACATTTATTTAGTTCACTGATCAAACAATTTATTTTTTGTTCTTGTACAGGGTGATCCAGCACGTTGCTTGGTTTGCAGGCACCACGTTGCCACCACGGTGGTAGATTGGGTGGTCGACCCCCGTGTGCTACAGTACATCGATTTTGTGGGTTTCGGCGGATTTCATAGGATGGCCTTCACACCGATCGATCGAGCGCTTATTACTGCGCTTTGTTGAGAGATGGAGACAAGAGACTCACTCCTTCCATCTACCAGTTGGGGAGGCCACCGTCACGCTCCGAGATGTGGCGATACTTACACGGCTCCCAGTGCATTGTATCCAAATAAATATTATCAATTTTACTAACCTTTTTGGTTCATTTTCTGCACATTATCAACTTCACCATACGCATTCATTCTTTTCATTGTATTGGTTGCTGGTGTTGTTGTTGTTGCTGGTGTTGTTAATGTTGCTGATGTTGTTGCAGTTATTGTTGTGGTTCCTGTTGTTAAGGTTGTAGTAGTTGTTGTGATTGTTGTTGATGCTCTTGTTGGGGTTGTCGCTGTTGCTCTTGTTGGGGTTGTCGCTGTTGTTGTTGTAGTAGTTGTTGTGGTTGTTGCTGCTGTTGTTGTTGCAGCTCCTGTGGTTGTTGCTGTTGTTGTTGCAGCTCCTGTTGTTGTTGCTGTGTAGCTGTGTTTGTGTGCAGAGATAAAACGCCAACCATGGTGGCGCTTTAGGGGGGTAAATTATTTTCAAAAAAATCACTCAGGGTAAAACGCCAACGGCGTTAGCGTTTTTGTGTAAATGTGTTTTTTTTAAAAAATTTGCCCAGCAGTAAAACGCCACCCTTGATGGCGTTTTATCCTTGACTAAAAATTAAAAAAAAATAAATGCCCAGGGTAAAACGCCATCCTGGTTGGCGTTTTACTCTGGAAGCTTAGTTTGGTAAATAGTTTTGCCACGCGTCTTGTTTGGGAAATCGTTTTCCAAAAACGCTTAGTTTGGCAATTTTTCCCTTTATTTTCAGAAAAATTTGCAAATTACAACCATTTAAATTTCGTATTTTGCAAATTAAACTCATTTAAAAAAATAATTACAAATTGGAACTCAAAAAATCGTATAAATTGTAAATTATAGCCCGATTTAACTTTTTCATCGGTTTACATGTTGAAAATTATCCGGTTAAGGTTTTATGGGTCATTTTAGCTCTTAAGAGCCCGAATTGAGCTTGGAATAGCAAAAAAAATAACGTAAGTGTCTCGTTTTGGGCATAAAAAATGTATTAATTTGTGGAAAATTGTAAAAATGAGACACATTAATTTTTTGCTAATTCCGAGCTCAATTCGGAACGTTAAGGACTAATATGGCCCCTAAAACCTTAACCGAAGATTTTTCGACATTATATACTAATGAAAAAGTTGAATCGGACTGCAATTTACAATTTATACGAACTTTTGGGTTGCAATTTGCAATTTTTTTTTAAATGGCTGTGATTTGCAAAATTTCCTTTTTTTCGCTGTATATTTTATTAATTAATATTACATTTATATAATTTTCAAAAATATGAAAATGAAATATACACACGCCGTACATATTAAAACTCATCTTGGATATCATAAAAGGACAAAAAAAAAACAAAATAGAGACAGAGGAATCCTTGCTAGAGCCCATGATTAAGTGTGCTCGTGTAAATTTGTAGTAAAATTGGGGTGTTTCTCATGTGAATTTGATTCACTTTATCTTCCATTAATTTCACTTTTTTTTTTTTACTAACTCCGTATTTTTTTTTTGAAATATTTACTTACTCCGTATTTATAAAAAAGAAAATAGTGTTAAAATTTTAACATTATTTGCTTTCATATCAATAATTGCAATAACTAATTTGAAATTAGCCCTTAATTATGTCTAATGTTAAGAAAATTATTTTTTTTTTCTTGAAAAATCATTTTGAAAGGATCTAGACTTTTTTTCCAAAATTAACATTGGGTTATGAAAGGTATCATAGTACAAATTTGAAAATTTTTAACAATAAAATAAAAAGAACTAAAATTTTTAACAATAAAATAAAAAGAACTAAAATGTGAATCGAATTTTGATATATGTAAGTAAGTTTAAACATGCTAGAAATATTGAATTATGGTGATTTGGATTTGTTATAGCCCCCTAAAAAATTTCAAAGTGATTTTATTTATGCGCACTCAAAAAGAGAAATTTTAAACTTTACAAATTGTTTAGAATTAGAAAATTACAAGAGAAAAAAGAGTGAGAGAATGGTTTTATGTGTAAAATCACACTCACAAAAGTCATTTTTTAAGATAGCATATATCATAGCTAATAGATAAGATTAAAGGCCAATCATACTATCACTTTGTGAGACCACATATTATCAAGTTCCTCAACATATAATCTATTAAGACCTTCAGTGAAACAGTAAATACTCTAAATACTCCAAACGAGAAACATAAAGTACAAATACAATCCAACCCCAAAGCTGCCAAGTGTGGCCGTGTGGGACATCGACCAGCACGATGACCGTCTGTGAAAAGATTGCAGCATACATTCAACAATTATGCAGCAACACATGCACAGTTGCATCTCTATAAATTTGAGGAAAAGCACAATGACCAAAAACATTTATTTTACTCCATTGAATAAAGTTCCCGCAAGTTTACAACTAAACAGCAAATTCATGTAACCAGTCCTCGCCAAAAAAACTACCACCTTACAGCATAATTTCCTCTAAACAATCAATTGATTTACAAAACTGACACCCTAGCTTCATCAAACGTCTCTCTGTCTCCTTGAAACTACTCAAAGCTGTGTTTAGTAACCGAATCCTGCAACAAAAAAAAAAAACACATCATTATATAATACACATTGTTTCCTGCAGTGGTCATCATCATTACAAATTACTTGCGAAACAGATTATGATGCTTCGAAGCAATGAATAGTACTTACCTGAATTATCCATCGGACTTCCAACAGACACTGGTGGCTCAGGTTCCTTGACATCAACAACTACACAATCTGACATCAAAAATGTTTTTGCTACTGAAGATGCATGCTCCAAACAGCATCTCACAACCTGTTTAAGTAAATTAGCGGCATTTTAACATCACAGCATAACTTACACGATTCAGTAAAAACCCGAAAGTCACCCAGGAAGATTTATTCAATCACATGTCAAATCACACAGACCCAACATCTCTCACACCCATTGCCCAATAATACTCATCCAACTTACCTTTGTTGGATCAATGATTCCTGCAGACATCAAGTCCTCATACTGTCCAGTGGCAGCATTATATCCATATCTTGTGTCGTCACTTGACAGCACCTACACCCACAGAACGAGAAATCCATAAGAGCGCAATACCTCATACAATTAAAACTTCTGTCCAAAACGGGAATGTGGCTGTTTTGCAAGATGGCGCACATAGCTAGCTAGCAATAGCACATCATTTTTAGCATTATTTTATTAATCATCTCCTACATCAAGTGTTTTTGTAAATATTATTTGCCCATTGATCTTTGGGAGTGAGTCCTATTATGCCTTTTATTGCACTTTGAAGTTGGTGTGAAAAAACATGAAACTTGAATACGTATTCAGAAAGTCCAGCTGCACAGCATACTAGGTGATCTCAATTCTCAAACATAGGCAGTGCACATCAGTTTTTCAAGGTATTTTTTTGAAATTATATTCAGCCTGTACTACAGCTTCTCAAACAATTGGCAGAAGAATTATAAATGAATTACATACCTTTTCACTGACTACACTTCCATTTACACCAGCATTTTTAGCAATCAACTTCAAGGGATAGCTTAATGCTCTTTTAACAATATCTGCCCCAACCTGCAAAGAAAAGTCCAGTGATTAAAATTTAAAAGAACCAGGAACAGCTATATTACAATGATGGAAAGGGAAGTCGATAAAGAGATATTGGTGTCATTTTACCAACAAAGTACAAAATCACACTACGAATCAGGCAAATTTGAAGTTCCAAAAGCTAGTACCATAACAAGCAAAAAGCCTAAAACTAACAACTTTGAAAAAAAACAGCAGAAGAATGTCATACAACTCGATTTTGACAATAACAACATGCATCAATTAAGCAAACACACGGCAGCCCAGAATAAGTTTTCACGGCAATATAAAAGAATGAAGTGATGTTACATTGTCTAAATTAACAATAGAAAACCATCTCTAGGTGTCTAATTAATATTTATAGCCACAAAAGACCTATGTTTAGGACAATACCATGGACATTCATTTATTAATCTTTCCTTGCTCTTCCACATTTAATGTGATATTAGGATGAATCTTATTACGGCTACGCCCACTAATTATGATGTCTGACCAGAACCAACACGACCAAACACACTAATTGATACGGAGTATAAAATCAAGCACTTTTTCTCTAAATAACCCAACTAAACTTGGCCAATGACACAGCAAAATAACAAACAAAAAAAACTTATTCTGATAAACTTAGCCATGATGATGAGAGCGGATGCCACAAGCAAAAGAGTTTTACATCAGCAGTTCTGTGTCTTGTGATGAAAATTATACACACCCTAATATATACTCCCTCCGTCCTTATTGATAGTCGGCAATTCGGCATAGTCCCTTATGGCCAATATTTAGTCCCAAAATGATAGTCTCATTTGCTTTTTTCAAGTACCACTAATATCAATTTTTTACAAAAATTCCCTACAATTTGCAACAAAATTTGTGCAAATTTAACTTTCACATGTAAATTTTGCTTTTCCATGTACTTTTATTACTTTCTCTCTCTAATTTTTTGCATACTCAATGTAAATTTACTTTTTCAATATACTTTTATTTGTGTTCATTAATTCCCGAGAAAATTGTCCACAAGGGACTATCAATAAGGGACAGAGGGAGTATTTACTAAGAAAAAGAGTTCGCCCTCAGCAGCACTACATCTGGTGATGAAAATTATGAACTCCCTATATTATACTTAGAAAAATAATAAAAATTCCTGTTAAAGGAAATTAAATTGACCAAACCTTTTCCTCAACATTTTGAAGTTGATCCTTAATAGCATCCACTTTAGATGAAAGACGAAGTAGAGTGCATCCACCTCCAACAACAATTCCTTCTTCAACCGCCGCCTAAATTGCAAGTAAAATTTAATACATGTTATGTACTGCTAAATGGTACAGTATTCCATCTAAGCAAAAAATATCAGTCTCCTCTTCGAAAATTTATCCAATACCTTTGTTGCATTAAGGGCGTCTTCAACTCTCAGCTTCTTTTCTTTCAACTCTGTTTCAGTTTGTGCTCCAACCTACCAAGAAAATGTAACATGTTATGAGCAAATGAAACCATTACATTAATTATTCTGGAGATTTTGTATACAGCCCACTGTACAGGGTTTGATGCTGAGAGCAGGAAGGTAGCATACCTGAATAACAGCCACTCCACCAGAAAGTTTTGCGATTCTCTCCGTAAGCTTTTCCTTCTCATATTCTTGCTCAGCAACCTGCAACAAGAATTTGTATAAGAATGCAAAATCACCGAATCTAGCAATGTTATAATCTGGAAAACAACTTCACCTCAATTTGATTCTTTATTTGTCCAACCCGTTTTGTCACAGCTTCTTGAGTGCTTCCATCACCCACAATTGTGGATGAATCCTTTGTTAGAACTATTTTGGCAGCATGACCTAAAACCTCCTTGTCAGCTTTGTCAAGTGTGAGACCAACTTCATCTCGAATAACAGTTGCTGCAACCATTCACAAAAATTGAGATAGCTGAGTGCATGATAAGCAGTGAAGGAAAACAGGTAATCAAAACAAAAAAGTCATAGGCAGTATAATGTAAGGCAGCAAGGGTTTAATGTAATCATTTACCTCCTGTAAGGATGGCAATGTCATCAAGATACTGACTTTTACGTTCACCAAATCCAGGAGCCTTGAGTGCTGCAATTTTCAAAGAACCTCTCAACCGATTCACAACAAGGGTAGCCAAAGCTTCCTGTTCAATATCCTCGGCTATTATTAGTACTGGGTAACTTCCCCTAATGGCATCTTCCAAGATGTTAACCAAATCCCTTGCATTTGTAATCTTTTTGTCAACTAGAAGCACCTGTAACAACATTTTCACAAAAAATGTTAAATGCAATACCACAAATGTGACAACATAAGACAACCCTACTAATAATGTTCAACAGAGTAGTTTTGAATGTATTGCAAACCTTGCAGTTCTCATACTCCACTGTCATTTTCTCAGCATCAGTAACAAAATAAGGTGAAATATAACCCCGATCGAACTGCATTCCTTCAACAACATAGAGACTGTTCTCGGCACTTTTTCCTTCTTCAAGAGTCACAACACCTTTCCTACCAACTCTGCTCATTGCTTCAGCAATCATATTTCCTACTTCATGGTTGTTGCCAGCACTGACAGCAGCTACATCAGCTAGTTCACTGTCTTCAACCTGCAAAAGATCAATTATGGTTACTGGTGACTGCATATTCGTAAAAGTACACATATTAATTAAGTGTATATTCCCTGTAATATTACCTCTTTTGACATCAACTTAAGCTCAGCTACTAGTGCTTTTGTAGTCTTCTCAATACCTCGGGTGATCAGAACAGGATTTGCACCTGCTGCAACTACCTAAACAAACCAAAAAAAAACTCCACAAAATTATTTATCAAACAAACAGTCATTGAATCAAGTAGAAATTATACAGCATCTTCACAAACAAACCTTGACCCCTTCTGCAATCAGACCTTGTGCGAGGACAACAGAAGTAGTTGTCCCGTCTCCAGCCAAATCATTAGTCTTAGCAGCCGCCTGTCTCACTAATTTTGCCCCAATATTTTCAACTGGGTCCTCCAACTCAACCTTCAGGTTATAGAAAAACCACAGCATATAAGTAACGGTTGACCAACAATACAGAATACAAATAGATAAGATCACAGGATTGCATGGTTTTATCAATAATCAACCCAACTCTCTCATGAAACAAGATTTACATGAGGGGTTAAAAAAATTATACCTCCTTAGCAACAGTAACACCATCATTGACAATCTTTGGGGAACCATATTTGCTCTCTAGAACAACGTTCCGACCCTTAGGACCCAAAGTAACCCCCACTAAATCAGCAAGCTTGTTCACCCCACTCTGGACAACAAATTCAGTAAATTTAGCAACATAAACAGGAAAGTTAAAAAAAAAAAAAAAAAAAGAAAGCCTAAGAATATTGATTGAATAACTATTCTTAGGCCTAGCCTAAACTCACTTGCAGCCTCTTGATAGCAGACCCATCTTTGTTAAAATACAACTCTTTGGCCATCGCGTTGATCTTTACTGAACGTGAATTCCGCAGAACAGCATTAGATCGTCTCCCTAAATTAATAGAAGAAGATATGGACGCCAATGAGGATAGTTTCTCTGCGGAGGTCAAAGGTTTCTTATCCATAACACGGGCGGCACCAGGGGCAGCCATTGCAGACATGCTCGTGAATGTTGATGCCATTTGTTCAGAAACCGTGAGATTTCACTGCAAAAACAAATTAATTCACAAATCTTCGTAATAAAACAAACCTATAGAAATCCATTCATTAATATAAATAGCACCCTTCTTCAAAAAAGCATAATTCATCAAACTGTAACAATATACTTCCTCCATTTCATTATAATGCGATAAATTTGACTTAGTAGCAAAACTTAGTCATCTCACCCGTCAATTTCTATCTTAAGTTCTTCAAAAACCATGTGACTCAAAATGCAACAGCTTAACATTACAATGGTCAACTATCACCAAATGTAGTCTGTCCATCGGGAATTAATAGTCACGTTGATAGTATAATTCAAACGATTAATATAATAATTTAGCCCCAAACTTGAATGCAATTGATACACAAGTATTAAAGAACATATACATATTCATAATAACATCTCAATAAAAACAATACTAATTATATCTCAATACACGCAGATTAAGGAGCTTAGCAGCAAACAAAACTTACATCTCATAAACAAATGAATGAAAATAAAGGTCAATAATCAGTGAACAACATTAGGGTTTTGCATAAACACAAAATTCAATTAAAAAGTTCAAAAATCAATTAACAGAAATGGCAGAGAATATATACAGAATGTAAATGTTGAAGATTGAAACGATGAAATCGAAGTAAAATAGGAGAGAGAAAATGTGAACTTACGAAGATGGAGAAATGGATAAGAGGAGCTTTGAAATGGAGAGTGAATACTGAAGCAGAGAGAAGAGGGGAGTGAGTGAAGAGGTAAGGTTTTAGCGAAAACCGGAAAATGAGAGAAATTAGGTTTAAATTGAGGGAAAACCGGTATTTCTTTAGCCTCTTGAACCTTCTTCCTAATTATGGACCGTTGGATTATTTATCTCTTGTTGTGTTTAGAACTCTCTAGAATTTTTGGTTTCGTTTGTTGGACAACTTGATATTTTGGCACCACCATGGCTCCCTACTTCCTCATAGTAATGTCTAATGTGATTGTATTTGGGCTTGGTCGTCACACGTTTGGGTTTATATTCATCTGTTCAACTTAGAGGATTATTATATACATTCGAGTCATCGGGTGTACCGATGTACCGTATAAGCATTAGTATTTTGTTCTTATTTTGATGATTGGTTTTCATTTAATCAACAAATAAGGAAATCAAAACCAACCTCGGGTCGGGTTAGTTGAGTGTACGGTACATCCGGTTGTATATAATAAATTATACTCTAGTTAAATGCAAGCGATAAGTTTGTCATGGAATGTGCTAAACAAACTCCTTAGACCACGTTGGTAACACATAGGTTGTCGCATTTAATGGTCATGTTTTTTTATTGCTCTTCAATGGTAAGTTTGACACTCGTTATGATTATAGCTCTACTATAATTAACTTTATGTTACTCGATTAATAGACGTGTGCACTGAATATCTCGCATCTGGAGTTGTGCAAGATAACACTTATTAGTGTTGAGTTGTCACATGATGGACAATTGAAGTTAAGGGTATGTTCTCTTACGATGAAATTCAGTTCAGTTCAGTTCAATTCAATTCAGCTCAGTTCAGTTTAGCTCCTAATTTCCTTATCTTATAAAATATTCATTTCAGTTCATTTCAGTTCAGCTCAGTTCAGCTCAGTTCAGTTCAGTTCAGCTCAGTTCAATTCAGTTCAGTAAATGAGAACAGGCCCTAAGTTCAAATAGTGAATTAAGTGGCGGTGCCTCCCAAACAACCATAATATGGCGGTGCCTCCCAAACAACCATAATATAGTTGGACAAAGGTAGATTTGGGCATGGGGCAAATCAACATAAGAGTAGCTTGACTCGGCTAAGAAGCACACAAATGGGTCATGGATCTTGCATGTACATCGATCATTTTCAAAATTGATATAATATTAGCACAAGCACGACATGTTAGCGCGCATGATTATGGCCAATTTATCTAATTAAAAATTAAAATAATTAAGGGGGTCATTGGCGTGTTGCGTCGGGCAGATCATGCACGTGCTTTGTTTATAAAAGTTGGCACAAATCGGACATGACATGATATTTTTTTTTTGTCAATTCTAAACACATGACATGCACGAGCAGAGCATGAGACACATGCTTGACCAATGAGCTGACATAATCTACCCTCGTACAACTATGACCAACTTTATATGGAATTGGTTGAGAAATTTTAGTTTGTAAATACTCCAACTCAATGAATGAAGGAGATTTAGTATAAGTTTTGCAATACGCCAAAGTACTACTTATTGTAAGCAAATAATGTCTTATGAAATACAGAGTTTTATATGTATGTTTAATTTTTATTACATAAATTTGTAACAATTTCTTCATTCAAATATTTTAGATGGAAAAAAAATAAAAATTATCGTGCTTAAAATATGGTTTCTATTGATTAATGTCATTTAAGGGAAAAAAAAAACACATAGTTATTTCATGAGAAAATACAAGTTAATATCAGATATCAACAAAACTTGTTAATATAGGGGTCTTGCGGTCTTTTCAACTATGTTTGTAAAGGACAAAATTGGGCAAACTTTTGTGGCTGCCTTCAATAGCGAATGAAAAGTTCATCTTCAATGACGAAGCAATGAAAGCTCATCTCTAATGGTGGAAACAATGGATGAGTTTAATACCTACCCTTTGGGGTTAATTATACCCTAAATTACCTTATTTTTACTTAGGGTTGTCGTCTAATTTGGCGGCAAAGCCGCCAGTTGTGTTTGAAATTCGTCGTCAGTAGTGTTTGATCAGATTGACATGCATTCCTTCATTATTAATGGGAGGTGGGTTTTACTTTGGGGGCATTGTTACTCTCTCCTCCTCCCCAGATTTGTCCACAAATGGGAACAACGGAGTCCACCTCAACTTTCCATTATTTTATCAATAGTTTTCCAAAAGTCTTACCTATTATTTACAACAATTGCCATGATATTAATAATGTTTGTTGATATTTGATAAATGGGAATCGACTAGTTATTTCAACGAGTACTCTTTAGCCTCAAGGTAATTGCAAAATTCACATGGTGCCCTAGTTGTTTCAAAAATTAACGTATCTTTGAGGTACGGAGTTAATGTTTCTAGTCTATAGTTAAAATTTTCGAGTCCGAACCGAATGGGTCCTTATCTTTATGACCCATCAACACTAATTGGTGACGGGTTTGAAGCCGGGCATGGGTTTTCCTCTCAAACTTACCACCCATTGTGAAACCCGAATCTTGTTCTAGGGTTTAGGCTTTTAGTTGTTTTGCTCTCAATTCATCGAGCTTCCCTCTCTTTCTTCCTCAACCTTCACTGATCATCAATGGCGAAAACCCCATCTCCCATTTCAATGTGATGCTGTTTCAAACTTAGCTGTTTCATTCAATCAAGAGCATTTAGGTTTTTATTTTTTCCATTTCTCTCTATAGTCGTCGATTTCGCTGCTAAAAGATGCAATTTTTGAGTCGAATCGTATCGCGCAATTCACCCTCATATTACTACAGTAGTGCGAGTATATTATCAAAGCATTTGTCAGAAATCCCCAATTTCAAGCTGTTTACGAATTCTAGAAGTTTCTCGAATGATTCCGAAAATGGCGGTGGAAATCTTCCATGGGGTGATAGCAAAGTAGGCAGTGATAATTTTCAGTGGGATGAATCAGCTTATTCTTGGTCTACTGGGTTAACCAAAGATCACTTTGATGGGGAAGCAGTGGGTCATCAGGTTGCTCACCATGTACCTTCTGGTGGTGGGGTTGGTTCGGTATCGGAACCTCGATCGAATTCTCGTTCTTCGGGTGATTCGTCGGAGAGATTATTAAGGAAGCAAATGGCAGAGCTGCAGCGTGAGGCGCGGCGAGAGGCGAGGAGAGAATTGGATGCTGAGGATGAGTGGGATGAAAAGATGGAAGAGACTAGTGTGGTATTGAAACAGATTACTGAGCCTGGTGCTAGAGGCTCTTACTTGAAGGATTCCGAAAAAGCCGAAATGTATCGGTTGCATAAGGGAGACCCTGAGGTTTATAATGTGGAACGTTTGGCTAAGGATTTTAGGATTATGAGGCAAAGGGTGGTTGCCATTCTTTGGCTTAAGGAGCTTGAGGAAGAAGAGGAGAAAAAGCTTGGTGAACCTTTGGATGATTCTGTTGAGCTTTTGCTTGATGCTTTCCCTGAGTAAGTTCATTTTTTGATGCATTTTTATGGGTTGATTACTGAGTTTTATTATTATGAAACATATTATGAGGTGAGCAAGAAATTTAGTGACAATGTATGTGGAATTTTGTTATGTATCAATTGGTGCTTGGTTTTGTTTCTTTTAGGTGTAATGAAGATGATATGGGTTTATGGCCGATTAGTGCTTGTATTTTTGAATTGTTCTACCTGTTGAGTGTTTGAATGACTTAATTTGGCATTTGCTCATTGTATGTTTGTGGTTGAAGTTGATGTTTAAGTTCTTATGTTTAAAGAGCAAGATGTCAAATTCTAGTTGGGTTCTTATGCAACTGGTAGTAGTGTGTTTGATAATGTACCCTTGCTGATCGCAGCACGTTAGAAGTATATGATATGAATAATTTGTTTGTATTGATTTCTTCGATGTCTGTAGTTGAAACTAGTTTAATCCCAATATGCTTAAAATACTGCACTCCTCTATAGTTTCCCCTCTTAGCAGGTCAAAAGATCTGTGACAGATTCTGTGTCTACAGGTAGGATTCCTATTGGCTGTTACCTTTCTCGTGCTCAGCTTTTTCCCCTTGCAAAGTAATTTTATTAGCTTGCTTTTGTGTAGATTTTTAATTCGCCATTTCATTCAGTTTACATTCGGATGATTTAGTTATTACTCTATATGCGGGGCACTGTTTTTGACCTGATTATGCTTCTTACTGAAGCCCGAGGAGAATATAAGTACTTTGTTGGACCTAAACTTTTGTCTGAGGCAAATTTTTAATGTCTGCATTCCAAACCCTTTCAGTATGTTCTCTCTTGCCACACTCTCTTAAACTTCTCTTTATCTTTCCTCTGTTCTATTCTTTTGTCAGTTGAGAATACAAGACAAAGTTGTTCCTCCCATGGCACCATGTATCTTTGTAATGGGAGTTAAGCTCTTGAACAATCTTTAGAGATGAAAAGACAAACACCACATTGTCGAAACACTATGAGTTGTGTATTTAGGAGAGTAATTATAGTTTTAGGGTCAGATTGTTGAAATTCTAGTCTGATATCCTACTCTAGTTTTTTGAAATTTGTGCTGAGTTGCAGTTACTTGGTTTAGAGAGCAATCAAGTATTATTAAGCTTTTTCATGGGTTACCCTTTGTAATTTGGTGTAATAGATAAGTTGCTCTTTGGTCATGGTTTTATGCATGATGTACTCTTATTGTTTGGAATTGTGTGCAATGCATACAAAATTGAGTATCCTTATTGTCAGGTTACTGATATCAGTGACGTGTCTGCTGTATGGTTATTTGACCCCTTGATGAATGATGACTAATGTTGACTCATCCCCCCCCCCCCCCCCCCACACACACACACACCTCTCTCTTCTTTCACCATTTTTTATATTACCACCTCTCTGCTACCCACAATATGACTAATATTGCCTTCAAGTTAATTTGAGAGCTCGTCATTCCTTGTTTGTAGACAAGATAATTCAATATTCTTCAATTTGAAGGTATTATGAATTGTATGTAGTATCTCTTGTTGTTGGGCTTAGTGAAGTAGCATACCGTTAAGATCAAGATTAAGGATTTTTTGCCCCCATTTGTCAATCATTGACAGCCTTTTGATGTCTTTCTATACACTCCATATCTTTCCTCCCCCATAGGAAAAACTAAATACTAAATATTCTTGAAATATAACAAATGGAGCTCGTAATATACTTATTAAACTCTTATGCCACATGGTCCTTGCCATGTAAAGAATGCACAATGCAATGTGGTTGATTCTTTCATATCTGAACTTATATCTGAAATCCCAATTACACTCTTTATCCCTCTTATATACACAAAATAGGATGATAGTATATATTTTGGAGCGGGTATTTACCTTGTAATGAAATCTCAGGACATGAAACCTTCTTATAGGCAGGGAGAAGGGCAGAGCCGCAGAGTGAGAGAGGACAGGAGGTGTAATAAAATTTTTCCGCATCTGTTAAAATCAGAACTGTCAGAAATTGACAAGTTAAGAAGATTCAAAACGTAAGTACAATCCCAAAGTACAAATGTACTTTGTACTCATAGTTGCTTTCAAAGGAAGTCTTGTAAATATTACGGTATTACCAAATTTACCCTGTCACGAGCAAGAGCTTTTTTAGAGGTATTGGAGCTACAAGCCTATTTTGAGGCTTTTGAGCTATTCTCGTGGCCATATGAGTGGGTAATCTGGTGTACAAGGTTATCATAGATGCAAAGGGAGAGAGTCAATCGAGGACTGATGGTAATAGAAAGCCCAATAAGTGGTTCTACACACTCTAACTTGGACTTTGTGGTCAAATGAGTGGGTTATAGATGTAGCAAAGCTATGAAGATTTTTTTAAAAGTAAATTACTTTAATCTAAAGGTGTAGATTTACTCGTAGAATAGATTGGGAAACTAACAGCATCAACAGAAGCTGGAATCATGCTTCCCAGGTTTTTGAGCTTATAGTTGCAAAAGTCTTATTCTCAGGATTTGAGAATTTTTTTTGGGATCGATGACTGTTTCAAAGGAAGATGAGAGCTTGCTAGACCTTACTGAACCTGTCTACCATGCTGGTAGTTTCTTTCTCGGATGAATTGGTGATTATTCATCATAGATTTTGGAAGTAAAGCTAGTCAATGGTAAAGAAATAAATAGTCATTGTCAGAACTCAGAACTTGCTTTAGGAAGAAAATATTGTAACTAAGAGATGAGGACTTGACAATGGGAATCAAATAGAAGCTTCTGATCTTTGGAAATACTTGTTTTGTGCTTTTTCACCCGTGTGTAGACCTCTTTGTCCTTGCTATGTATCCCTCTCTCTCTCTCTCTCTCTCGTCTCTTTCGCGTGTGTGTTGTGACTGAATGCATCAGACAGTTTATTTTACCGAACTTAATCTTTCAAGTAACTGGAAGACAGAAAGTGTAATTTGGTCAAGTGTATTGTAGTTTGGATTTTGGGGTTTCCAGGTATTTTATTAGGAAGAAGTGTTTAATCTCTTTCCTTGTTTGCTTGAATGCCTTCTGCTGTTTTTTGTTCTTCTTGGCTTGGTTTGTTTGTATAATTGTATGTAGACTTTGCCAGCCATATACCATTTATTTCCTTTACGGCTTTACCTTTATAATTATATATTGTTTGTATTCAGGGTTGTATTACTTCCTTACAAATTGCAACTGCTTATATTGTTATATTATGCTTATAAAAATAATAAAACACTGCTTGTAAACTACACTGCTGACTTTAGACTCAAATTTGACCAATTTGGCTGTGCTGTGTGCCTGTATCTGAAGCTTTTAAGATTTCCTGCAACTAATCCATATTGTTGGGCCTATTAAACTGTGAGGAATGTAGGCTTTTTTTGTAGTTTAATGCTTCTTGTCAGGAGTATAAAAAGATAAATATTGTATCAATAAATACAAGTTTGAAACTTTATCCTTGAATTTACCCTGTTGGTTTCTTTCTTGCAGATTCTTCGTTTCCCATGATAGAGAGTTTCATGTAGCCTCACTTCCATACAAACCTGATTTTAAGGTCATGCCTGAGGGTTGGGATGGCACCACTAGAGATCCTGATGAAGTACACTATGAGATATCAAAGAAGGAAGATGATATATTGTATGAAGAATTCCTTCAGAAGTTTAATTTCAACAAGATGAAAGTAAGTGCCTGGAGTAACTCTCTCTCTCTCTCTCTCTTCGTTTCACCTCTTGGAGTCACTTCAAAATTGAGTCGTACATTATTTTATTTTTTTGTAAGAAGCCCCTTGCAGGTGGGGGGGGGGGGGGGGATTGGGGATCCCTCTAACAAGGGGTGAAAATTGAACCCTCTCACAGAGATGGAGGGAGGGTCTCCATTCTCCAACCACTAGATCAACCTTGATTCTCTACACTCTGCTATTGGGTTGCACTAAACATCCTTGGCTGTGAAAGTGAATCAATGATTACACTTGAATTATTGCTTTCAATACCATTTCTTTTTAACTGGATGGTTTTGACTTTTAGGCAGAGGGCTGAATATTAATTATAAAATAGAACATAAGATTAAATATTACAATAGCAAATACTACTATACTCCACTGGCATACAAAGTTTGTGAGAACTTTAGTCCTTTTTTTCTAGGACAGTGGTACTCATTGTTTGGTAAAGCTATTGCTCTAGTGTCTTGTTTCTTGAAGAAAAAGGAGGAGAAAATCTTGGGATGTACTATATATATTTTTTCCATTCATGTGAGAGTGACTACAACTTCCGTTGTGTGTTAGGGCTGACAGTTATCTGGCACATCCCAAAACAGAATGTTTGTCGACTAGATTTGGTTCTAATCTTTAACTTGCTGTGCGGTGAATATGTTGCCAACAGTTGACTATTTTTGTGCTTATAATGTTGTGTAATGCTATCTCCGCTTTTGTGAACAGTTCAAGAATGAGGTTAAGGTGCACAAATATAGTAGGAGGCGCCCTTCAGATGGTTGGAGTTTTACAGTGGAGAAGTTAGGACCTCGGGGAAAGCGTGGAGGAAGTGGTGGATGGAAATTTGTGAGTCAACCTGATGGATCAACACGACCATTGAACGATATAGAGAAGATGTATGTCAAGAGGGAAACTCCTCGTCGCCGTCGGAAAATACTCCCGTAAGAAGCATATATTCATATCACAGCTACAGCTTAGGCAGCATTTTTTGTTTGGTTCTTTTGTACGATAGAGCTGATATCTCTGCTCCAAATTTGTATGGTTGCAAGTCAGCACTTTTGTATCCCTGGATCTGGTTTTGGTTGACAATTCCTGATCGATGAAAACAGAGGTTTTGTTGACATATCTCTAAGGGTGAATAATATGATCCACTCCGAATATTTGGTTAAAATCATTTGCTTTTCCCCCTGTACCAAATGCGTCGATCATTTTGTCTTGTCCTGGGATTGTTTTATCTATCTCCGAACTAACATTGCAGCAGGTTTGATTCGAAAGTTTTGGCCAATGGAAGTTCCGCGTCTTCTTTACTAGTAGACGAGATGAATGTAAACGGGTTTCAAGTCTAGGTTTTTCGCGTATTTGGTATACCGTATTGACTTTGTTAAGCAATAAATCAGTCTATCTGCTAATTTGCTGGCAGGTGCTCCTCTTGTCACAACAGTTGGCAATTGTAAGATGTATTATACAATCTTTCCAAATAGGGTTGTTCATTGCAATTGTATTTGTATTTGCCAGAATTAAGTGATTTAAATATAATGGGAAGAGTTGATATTTTGCGTTGACTTGACTTGTCAAAGTTTATGGGAGGCGTATTACAGGTAATGAATTGTATTGTGGAGCATTATCGTACTTAAGAATGACACTTTTGTATCAAAGATAGTGTCAATTTTTTGGTCTTAGACGTGCGATTTTAGAGTGAATGGTCCAACTCCGATAACCCCATCATTCACATTCATGAATCATGACTCATGTCATGCCAATACGGGAAGGAGTAGCTGGCTAAATTGGTCAGCATCGACACAAACCTTAGTTACTTACTTGTACAAGTAACATACTCTTTCTATCTCTAATTATTTGACACATTTGAACTTTTTTTTTTTCTTCTCCTTTTGTTTAGCTCGAAGTAAAAAAAATTGTACTTTGTAACTGAGATGGATGAAACTCTGTACTAGGTTTAACTGTATGTAAGAATATTGTAGGTCGTGTTTGGAGAAAGGTTGAAAAACAAAGTTGATCTTGTTAGCTGATTTTTAAAGATAATTGTATTAATTGATTTGAGTAATTGATTATTTTAGTTTTTTTTTTATTCGAATGAGGTTACAAGCACCAAATGAAAGAAAATAACAAAAACGAAAAACACACAGTAGAAATAAAAGGCTATAAAAATAATAAAACACTGCTGATTATTTCAGTTGATTGTATAAAAGTGATTGATAATTAACTAATTGTTTAAAGTTTGAGTATGCAAATGATTAATAAGGAAATTAACATACGTAGTATTTAAAAATGGTAGAGTTTTGGGTTAAATGTCATCTCACTTTAAAATATTTGAATATGCTAATGAAAAAGCTCCTTCAAGTAGCTTATTAAAAATAAGCTTATCTTGTGAAATTAACTATTCAAATCAGCTGGCCACTAAATACCCCAATTAACTTACTGTATTGGTCAATTAGCTAAAATTAGTAAATCAACTAATTTTGCCTTAATAAGATCACCACCTAATACCCTCGCAATATCGTTAAATATGACCTTAATATATTGTGGTTTGATTCCTACCATCTATGGTTTTATGTGGGTGATCTTCCAAGGGTATGAGTGTATGGCTTGCTGCACCAAACCTAGATTGATTAACTTGTTATAGTTATAATCAAAATCCAAATAAGATTTTTGTTCACACCATATCACGACATAAATCACAATCTAATAAGATTTGTTTCATTACCGTATCGCAACATAGGTTAGAATATAACATCTCATCTTCCTTACCATATTAAGACATGATTACAACATATTAAGATATTATTTCATATCGTATCACGAGTTCACAACATAGGTTATGATATGATGAGATCTCTTTTTACATTTTTTTTTGACACAGACTTAGATACAATTTGATAACATATGACCCACCATATCACTCCATAAGTTACAATATAATATGGCTTATGTTCTTTACCGTATAACGATATAAGTAAATACTGCATAAGTGCATATTACATTAAGAATCTACGATACACGATATCGGGTAAATACTAAAATAAATAAATAAATAAATAAATAAACGCGGGATCCGGAGATCTTCATGAACTCAAAAATTGTGTGGCTACCCCATTTTGCAACTTCAATCAGGGGAAAAAAAATTAAAAATAAAAATTTGAGTCTTGACAGCAAAAAAGGAAACCTTTTTAATTTTTGGATTTTCCATTTTTTTTGGCTTTCTCTTTCAAAGTAATTCATACCAAACGTAACGGAAATACCATCGTCCCTGTTCTTTCTCTCTCTCTCCTCTCTCGGCTGTTGCTGTCGAATTCCTTTGAACAATTTCTGAGAGAGAATACAGAGAGAGTAAGAGAAGGGGGGAAGAATTCAATATCCAAACAAATTTCGCAAAAAATATTGGGATTTTTCACAAGTTACAACGTGAAAGGAGCCACCTTTTTGAGTTTTTTAGATTTTTTTGGAAATACCCATGTTCGGAAAATTCTCAAGAATCTCAAATTAATGAATATTTGATTGGTTTTAGATGTGTAATCCACATTTTTCCCTTGAAAAAGAGCCAAGTGGGTATCTGAATTTTCCAATTAATTTTCAAGATTTTGTTTGTGATTCTTGAAATTTGATGAATTTATATATGTGGGTATTATCAGGGTTTTGAAAAGAATTTGGCTTTCAAAGGGTTTTGAATTTCGCATTGGATTGGATTGAATTGGGTTTATTTTTTGGTTTTGGGGCAAAAAATTGTCAATGGTGATGTCGTCAGATAATGTTAAGGGGCTTGTGTTGGCTGTTTCTTCGAGTATCTTTATTGGGTCAAGCTTCATCATTAAGAAAAAAGGTCTCATGAAAGCTGGGACAACTGGGACTAGAGCAGGTTTTGATCCTTTCAATCTTTTTATTATTTCTTATTAATGTTGGCTTTTGAAGTTGTGTTTAATATTCATGCATTTCTTGGAATTGAGATATTAGGATTTTCATCATTGTTAATTTGGAAATTGGAATCGAAGGCAAGTTTTTCTGGTAAATGGGTTGCTTTTAATGTTTATGTTTTTTAATTTACCAGGATCAGGAGGCCATTCATACCTGTATGAACCTTGGTGGTGGACAGGAATGATTGCAAGTAAGTTTTTGTCAGATTTCGTCGTGTGAAATTTAGATGGATGTGGTTGCTGTCATTTATTTTTTGTTTGTGTGTCGCTTTTCGAGTTGATTGAATGATACATGATGGTGAATTGAATGGTGGATTAATAGTGTGCCTTCATTTGTATTTTGCTAGTGATTGTTGGGGAGATTGCTAATTTTGCAGCATATGCTTTTGCACCTGCAATTCTTGTTACTCCTTTGGGAGCCCTTAGTATTATCTTCAGGTTTGGTCAATGCAACATTGGACTCCTTTCACCTTAATTACCTGTCTGTTTTGATTTAATATTTAATTTCCTAAATCTAGTTTCTGTAATGCAGTTCAGTTCTAGCTCATTTTATCCTTAACGAAAAATTGCACATATTTGGTATGCTTGGTTGTGTTCTCTGTGTGGTCGGTTCGACCACTATTGTCTTACATGCCCCACACGAGAGGGATATTGAATCTGTTAAGCAAGTATGGACGCTTGCCACAGAGCCAGGTAATTGCATATGGAACCTTATCAGTTTGACTTAGTCTTCTTGTCATGTTTTAAAGATTTAAATAATTGGTATTGCATGTGTTATATTGGTAAAATACTGAAGTTCACATAGTTTTGCCATAATTCTTATATGCTCAAGAGGAATTTCTTTCAAGGGTCGTGCTTTCCTTTTGTGTACCTCCAAAGGCTTGCAGCAGTCTAATATGCTTATCCATGATGTTTCATATGTAGCGTTTATTAGCTTTAGTATTCAACAATCTCCAAGTGCAAGAAATCGCTGACCAGAAAATTTATCTGTGAACAGGTTTTCTTGTGTATGCTGCCATTGTTGTTGTGATGGTTATTGTACTCATTTTCTACTTCGTTCCACGTAATGGGCGGACACATATGGTTGTGTATATTGGAATTTGCTCCCTCATGGGCTCTCTTACGGTTTGTTCATTGAATCCCAGCTTTACATGTACACAATTTAGCTTTCTGGCTTATCCACTCATTGGACAGACATGATATTGTTTTTGCATATGCAGGTTATGTGTGTCAAAGCTGTGAGTATTGCCTTAAAGTTGACTTTTGAGGGAAATAACCAGTTCAAATACTTCCAAGCATGGTTCTTCACCATTGTTGTAATTATTTGCTGTCTCTTGCAAATTAATTACTTGAACAAGGTAATTGTTGATAGTCTCACTATGATCTCTGTCTTCTGCAGGATCCTATATTGTTGTCCTTTCATGTTTATCAATACATCCATTCAGTAATGCTCTATGAATTAGATTGATGCATGTTAGAGTTCTGTTATAACTATGATTTATTGCATACTTATTTACTCTCATAAGCTAGGTGTTTTTAAGGCAACTACAATGGCAGCCTTATTATTTTCCTTAATTGACGTTCTCTTGAAATAATTATACAAATCATCTAACTGTAGAATTTGAGCACAAACTTGATATTAGTCTAATTGAGGCAGTTGTTCTTAACTTGCCAATATGCATTTGTGTAGAACATGCAACCTAGTACACAAGGATGGGTTTGATATAGATACCTATGTCACTTGAACTCTATAAGACTATTTTTACCTCAAGTAACCATATTGAATACTCGACACTCTATAATGGGAAGTGGATACGTTTGGGGCTTTTTTGTATATTATTGAGATTTTAAGGTAAGTTGCAATTTTCTTTCCTACTTCCTCCACTGTACTACCTCACCCCTTCCTTCCTTTACTTCAGCAGTACCTACGATTGCTACCAGTAGAACCATGTACGCTTCTACCACCACCACTACGGCACCAGTACAACAACTACTACTATCTTCTTTTTTTGCACCCCTTCCCTCTTTTCTTAGTTATTTTTAGTTGATACCTAAATTTATAATTAATTAATTGGATTTGCATTGGTCGAAAATTTACTAACTGAAGGGCACTATTTACAAACCTACTTACCTCATTACAAAATACATTGTGAATAACCTAGAAAGGAGGATTAGGAATAGTTGAAAGTGGATGCTTATTTATCTGGGACTTGCAATCACAAGTGAAACTCTGCTTTTTCTTGTGATCTGCTTTGTTGATATCTCCCAAACGGCATTCTATTATATCTTCTGATTTTCTGTTATATATTTAATGATTAAAGACACATACCTCTAGACAAGCCACATCTGCATAAGTTTCCCTTCCACCTAACAAGTGACACCTATTCTTTTTGTTGATTTTTTCAGATGCGTCACCTTGAATATTGAAATTTATTGTTATGGTATTGGAAATTTGACCCATATCTCTTCCTGTTAAGATTTTACAAAATCACAATCTCTCATCTATGCAAAACCACTGCCATAACTATATGGAAGGGAAAAAAAAAAACACCCTTCAATCTTGCTTTGACTGTTTGACAGGCTTATGATTCAATATATTGCCTACCTTTGTGTTATAGAAACGATAGTTTCTGCACGAGTGGATATCCTCATTATTAGGATGAATTTAGCAGGGGGTGAAAATTGCTTGTTTCTGTTTTCGACTTGGGATATTTGCTAGTGAGAAAATGGTTTGAAGGTATCTTTTAATCTTGTTTGCAAGCATATGTGCGCTCTACGTCACAACAGTTTGTCATTTGTTTTTAATCTGTACAATTGCATTACAAAGGCTACCTAGAAGTTTCAATGACATTTATATTGTTGCAGGCTCTGGACACCTTTAACACTGCTGTTGTTTCCCCCGTCTACTACGTCATGTTTACTTCGCTCACCATCCTTGCCAGTATGATCATGTTTAAGGTAATTCAGTGATTACTAATGCAAAATTCTAATTTATAATTAACCTTATGGCATCAAAAATCTAGTTTAAAGTTTTGCTGTTGTTGCAACAATAAATATTTTCTCTAAAGTGCTAATTATTTCAATACAGCACATGTTGCAGTCTCGGTAATGTCTATTTATACACCATGAATTATTAAATGATGAAACATTAGAGATCGTTATAACTCATTCAGAGAACTGGATGTAAATATTATATTGATTCCTATTCTTTAATGTTGCAGAACAACTCTTAAAGGTGTAAAATCCTGACAATATCACCAATTTATTGCCAAAAGTTAAAAACAAATCTGCCAAATTAATTGTTCTAATGCTGGTTAAAACAACATTTGTATTGACATCTGTTCTTGCACTAAATGAATATTCCTCTTACGGCTATGATGTTGAATTAGTCTTACTAGTTGTTTAGTTCAGTAATTTTAACATATTGTAGCACCAGTTTATACTTGACTGAGACATTCAGTATGTTTTGATGTGCTTAAAGTTTACTCTGAAAGGAATGAATCGGCCTATTCTGTTTAGATGGAAGTCTATATACTGTGATTAGTTTTAAAGGAGTTTAATTCAGATTTTCCTTCATTTGTTACTCTTACAATCTTCTTTGGTAGGGGCTTGAGTGGCATTTAGATAGTCTATATACCGTGATATGCTGTTCATTTTATGATTTACATTGCTCGTGTTTGTCCAAATCTTCAGGATTGGGACTCACAAAATGGTTCACAAATAGCTACAGAATTGTGCGGATTTGTAACCATTCTGTCTGGGACATTTCTGCTTCACAAAACCAAGGACATGGGAAATACTCCAGCAGCAACACCGCTTGCTGCAGCTGAACTTTCTAGGCAATATAGCGTCAATTGCAATCATGAAAATTCAAGACATTCTGACTGCAATGCTAGCCCAGACCGCAATTTCAGAGAGTAAGCTCGATTTTTTGGAGATTCAACAAATATTTTGCCGGTTGTCCCTTGGAACTCAACGGGACAGATGATACCTTGTCTCTTGGAGCACAACGTTCGGGCTTGAAATGTTATCACATTACAGAATGGCCAGTTTTTTCGTTTTTGGCTCAAGTGCAGACCAATTTCTGATAAAAGGGTATATATATTCATAGCGGAAGGGCTCTTATTATTTGTAGGGATACGGCTAAGAGCATCATTATTGGTGAACACAAAAAAATGGTTCATGGGTCACTATCACCATTTCTCTCTCATCCACATCAACCCAACAAACCATTTACAATATTCACTCTTAACAATGAACACTAAACAATGGTTCATCATCAATACTCCCTACCCCACCTTATTTTATTTTTGTAAATATAATCTATTTAATTCATAATTATAATTTATTAACTCGATGTCAATGTAATTAATTGACGTATTTAATTTTTTAATCGTGATTACTAATTAAGAAATTATCGCGTTTTTTTATTAGCTTTTTTAAAAACTAATTCTTGTGATCAATATTTTTAAACAACAACGCAGCTAATTTTAATTAACATAATTAAAAAAAAAGAGGTACAAATCGTGATTACAGTACTACAACTATAATCAAGTACATTTTTTTTTTAAAAAAGAACTACTACACATCGTTTTGTAAGATGTCCTTAGGGATAACCATTTGTTGTAAACCTAATTGCGTAAGTTCTCGTTGTTACCAAATTTATTCCATATATGTGCGACCAAATCGTTTTTTAGCTGCAAATGAGTCTGTTGATCCTCAATCTCTGTTCTACGAGTCAAGTATAAGCCCCGATATCCACAATACGATCAGTACGATACTCGGTAGTGTCCTCATTAGCGTTGCCTCCAGCATTCATAAACTCATTGGTATTAACGTTATTTTGATACGTCTCTCGTTCATCTTCAACGATCATATTATGTATTATGATGCAGGCGAGCATGATATTGTGGAGTATGTCGGTATCCCACGCCAAAGACGGCTTTTTAATAATGGCAAAACGAGCTTGAAGGACCCCAAATGCGCGTTCAACGTCTTTCCTTGCAACTTCCTGGTGTTTTGCGAATAAACGATCCTTACGAGCTTGAGGACTCGTAATGGATTTCACAAAAGTAGCCCATCTAGGGTAGATTCCATCAGTAAGATAATACCCATTCGTATAATGATGACCATTGACTACGAAGTTCACAGCAGGTGTTCGACCCTCTAAGACGTCTTCGAACACAGGGGATCGATGAAGCACATTAATATCGTTGCAGCTACTTGTCATCCCAAAGAACGAATGCCATATCCATAGATCTCTGTCCGCAACTGCCTCCAGTACGAGAGTTGCAACTCCTGCTCTTCCTTGATACTTCCCCTTCCATACGTGTGGACACTTCTTCCACTCCCAGTGCATACAATCAATGCTGCCTATCATGCCAGGAAATCCACGTTCTTCCCCAATACGTAGCAATCTTTCCATATCTGCGATGTTTGGACGGCGTAGGTACTGATCACCGAACTGGTTGATGACACCTTCTGTAAACTTTTGGAGTGCCAATCGTGAAGTAGCCTCACTTATACGGACATACTCATCACAAGCGTCTGAAGCACACCCGTAAGCTAGTTGTCTAACGACCGCAGTGCACTTTTGAAGTGGAGACAACCCAAGACGACCTGCCGCATCTCGCCTTTGTTGAAACCAAGGGTCATGTTGGGTCACTGCGTTGAGAAGGCGCTCAAACACATGTTTACGCATTCGAAACCGGCGCCGGAACAAGGAACTTGGATAAACTGGGACTTCCGCGAAATAGTCATTGTATAACCGTGCATGACCTTCTTCGCGTCCCCTATCCTTTCGGGGCTCAGTAGATTTGCGTCGGCGTTGCTGAGTGGCAGCTTGAATAATTGGTGGAATGTACTCATGCATTACGTGTTGTATCATAAGACACACTTCATTACGTTGTTGAACTCTAAGCTCCCTTCCCTCATCATCCGAGTTAGATGAAGATGAAGAGGAATCGGTTGAGCTTAAGTTGAAACTGTTTGAATTCATTTTCTACGTAAGAAATGTAAGATAGAGTGAGGTTTTCTAATAATAACTGCAAACGATTTATGTGTTTGTGTGTAAAATAAATGAAAGAATGGTGTTTATTTATAGTGAACTAATTTGTAATTCTTCTTCAGAAATAACTGAATATAAAGAGACAAAGATCACATGGGCTATGACAAACACTGGATTAGAACCACACAGAAATTGAATGGAGAAGAAGGGTTTCACATGGGCTAACAAAGGGGAAATTAAGATACTGACACAATTATATATAAAGAGACAAATTGATATAATTGAATAAAGAGACAAAGATCACATGGGCTATGAAAATGGGATAGTGGAAAAGATCCATTTTACTGATTAATTGATAAAGTACAAATAATTGGAAATGCGTACAAGAGGTTGAACTGGAATTGAAAACTTATCACTACTGAAAATGAAGATTACAATGCCTAAGCATCATTAGTGAAACTTTTAATTTTGTTCTGAAGTATTACTATCATTTCGTCTTCCCACTGTTCTCGGTTACTTTCTGTTCTAGACGAGCTAGTTGCTCCCAGTGGATCCTATGTTGTTCTAGCTCAATTTTCCGTTGTTTCCTTGCCTCCTTGCGCTCCTGTATTTCAAGCCTCTTCATTTCTGCTTCGTTTGACACATTCATCGAATCCCCAAATAGCTGCAATCGGGTGTTGAATGTTTCTAATTCCTTAAATGCTTCACTTGATGGAGCTTTACCCTTCAACCTCGACTTAGCCTTTTTAATTCCTTCAGCACGAGCTACTCTCTCATCACCGACACCCACGCTGGTCGGTGTGGTAGGTGAGGAATTGTCACCCTCATCCCGTGTCCTCTTCCCACTACTTCCGCTCCCTACAGACTCATCCGTCAGTGGAGTTGAATGTGGACGTCCCACCGAAGGCTTGAATGTTTGTTGGTCCAACAAAGACCGGAATTTGTCAAACTTCCTAATTTGGATCCATTCCTCGTAGAAGGTGAATCGTCCGAATGAGTTCTCATGGATTTTGTGGGCCTCTTGGATAACATCATCTTCGTTATAGCCACTTCCCTTTCGCTTTCGGGCCTTATCATAGCTTCCGCACCACTTTAACACGGCTTCAGAGATTCGCATCCACCTTCCCTTCAAACTACTAATAGTTCGTAGGGATATTTCAACTGGATTCGATTCCCTGGCAGCATCGTATGCGTCCAAGACTCTGTTCCAAAATTGACCCTTCTTTTGATTTGTGCCGATAATTATGTTGGTGCTGGTGTTCATGTAGGCGGATATAAGAGCCGTAGTTTCTGATCGCGACCAACTTCTATTGTTTGAACAACCAACACGAAATTCCGGAGTTGATTGGAGTGGTTGTTGTAACATTTGAGTGAAGTTTTGATGGGGGGAAGGAGTTTCATTTCCCTCACCATCATCCTCTCATTCTTCATTTGCCTCATCTTCTTCAGATAAGACATTGCTCGATACCCAAATATTGGGATTCGGTTTTTGTGACGGAAAATATCCAGATGCAGCACCATATTCACCGTAACCCATTAGTATCATGGATGGATGTGGGAAATTTGAACTGCTTTGAGAAAAATTAAAATTTTGAGGGAAATTTGGTGGATTATATGGGCAACTTGACTGGGGTATTTGAGGATACACTCCAGAAAAATTATGGGGAATATTTGTGGGTGTTTGTGAAAAATTTGGGTGAATTGGAGGAAAATTGGCTTGATTCGGGATCATATTTTGACCCAATTTTTTTTTCTGCTTTCTATTTGTTTTGGGGTTGGTATTAGCATCCATAATTATAATTTATATTTGGAAAAAATAAAAATTTAATATTAATAATAATAATAACGATAATAATAATAATAATAATAAAAATATTAAAAATAATAACGATAATAAAAAAAAAATAGTAACGATAATAATAATATTAATGATAATAATTAAAAATAATATTAACAATAATAATATTAATATTGGTATAAATAATAATAATATTGGTAATTATAGAGAGGATTTTTGAAGAGAAAAATATAGTAGAAAGAAATGGATTTTCAAAGTTGAAGAAAGTATATCAATATGGGTGTCTATTTATAGAGGGGAAAAAAATAGAGCCGTTGGTAATTTTTTTTTTTTTTGATTTGTATTTTATAAAATATATCCGTTGTATTATTACAACGGATTTATTTAAAACAATGAACACGTGTCAAGCAGCGGCTGGGCCAAGTGGCGCGCTCCCAGCCGCTACTTTCTATTTTTTTTTTCTGCCCGTTAATAAGCAAAACGACGTCGTTTTGCAACATGAAACAGCAAAACGACGTCGTTTTGTATGAATATCAGTGGAAAATTTTGGTGGGGCCCACAGCGAATTATTTCGTCCAGCTGCTCGCTCCTGCAATCGAACGCATGACCACTCATCATGAACAATTATAGAGTTTGCCATTAAGCCACCACCTTATTTGTTCACTCATTGTGAACTATTAAAATTTTCACCATTAACGCTGCTCTAAGTTAGCTAGTTTTTTTTTTTTTTTTTTTCCACCATTTTTTTCCGCTACGTAGGTTTGAGGTTGTGACTTGTGAATATGTTTCGGAAAATAAATGAAAAATATTGGTTATGGCAAAAATCTAGAAAGGCAGATCCCTGATGGAATGAGAAACAAAGCAAATTTGTGCAGTATTTTCTGAACCTTTTTACATCCCCCTTAGTTTAATGGGTTAATTACATTTGTTAAGAGATTAAAAATCTTATGAAGCTAGTAAAGAAATATTATTTAACTCGTATTTTCGAATGTTTTATCAAATTTTAACATACTCTTATAATACGAGTAGCTTTTATTATATGTCCATGTGTGTCCATGTAGAATCATGTTGTCCATGTGTGTCCAACATATGATACATACAAGTACATGATTATGTATGCACACATGATACATTTAATGTGTCAACTAGATTTCTTATAATCGTAATGTAAGGGATATGCATATTAAGTTTTGATTATTATAATTGAATTTCCTGAAATTTTTAGAGTAAGTATTAATATGCATAGTATACAACGGGCCAAATAGTCAATAGTAATGAATTTGAATTATCAACTTAAACATTCATTTGTGATGGTTAAGAGTTAAGACTTGAGAAGGCTTCTTAATTTCTTTATAAGAAATAATGGCACATGCCACCTAAAGTGTCTTTAATAGCTTTAGGTCATCCCTTAGCAAGTAGGAGTAAAATAATAGCAGCCATGGAAGCCCATAAAGAATAGTCATAGAAAATCTTGATTTGAATAAGGAT